CAAAGCTGATGGAAGGCACTCTGCCCAAATGAGGCCACCTGAGCCTTAAGTGACAGCAAAAGATCCAGAAATACAGGGTCACTCTGTGAGAAATGCAGCCAACAAGTTTAATAAATCACAATAATTCTATTGCAATGGTAACGTAGCTTTATAATTAACTACATAAAATTCCAGCACAGTGGACCGTGAGCCAAATAATGTGATTTTTGCCAAATTGCAGCAGGTGATGAACACAGATCAGAACAGAAATTGGTGCCTTCTTACATGCCTGTCCCACCGTTACTCGTTGGGTTATACTCCCTTCTCTGAGATCTCACGAGGAGCTTCGAGTTCCTGTCGTCTGCAACAGCACACCAGACTCTCCTTTGTAAAAGCCCCAGGACTGGACGCCTAGAGTTTCACAGGTCAAACTGTGTGCCATGTAGATAACTCCTCTTGTGCATGTTTTTAAAAGCTCTGGCATCATTTGATCTGCTAAGATCCTCCAGGAGTCGCACACCAGCCTCCTGAAGGCTACCTTTGAAGCGACTCAGCTGGCGTCAGAGATTTAGTAAAACTATCCGTTGTGCTTGGAACGTGGGAAGCATAGATCCTCTGACAAAAATCAAGGATTAGAGAACACGATTAGAGAACGTGAGTCGAACATTAATGCTTGGGCGTGTGGAAGAGTTGGCAAAGGCAACAGAAGGCAAGTCCCATGGTCTCCAGAGATTGGCAGACACGTTTATTAGATAGAGGATCAGTGCCATCCCATATCTGTTAAGATCTTGGGGAACTCTGATACACCCTGTATCATTTGTTCCAAGGTGTGTACCGTGAAAAAGAAGAAGTGTGTTTGCTTATGGGTGTCTCCAAGCCCACTGGGGTTAGGACCCCTTAGTGTCGCAACCAGAGCACTACCATCATGCAAATATATGCTAAAAGATTAAAAAATGAGTCCCCAAGCAAATGTTTGGATTAAAAACAGAACCTAGGTCAAAATGGCCGAAGACTACCGCCCTAGCCTGTAATGGCCTGACTGACACTGGTAGACTGCGAAGGTGGACAGGAAGATCTCTGCAGAGGGTCAGCCTCAATGCTCACTTCAATAATATCTGAAAGGCAAGGGAAGAATCCAGTCAATGATATGTGCAGTCTTTGCAACTATGTAGAGCAGGTGTGGCGAACCTTTGGCTCTCCAGAAATTGCTGAACTACAACTCCCATCAGCCCCAGCAGGCATGGCCAATGGCCAGGGATGATGGGAGTTGCCAGTAGATCAACACCTGGAGGGTCAAAGGTTCCTTATGCCTGATGTATGAGCTTGAAGCAGTCTCTCGTGTGCTCTTCTTCTGAGTTTCCTCCCACAATAGGTTAAGAGAATGCACACTAACAAGGCAAATTCCTGGCTGATCCTTAAGAAACCCCTTTGAGTCTCTTCCTTGAGGGGGTCTACTGAACGCCAAACAGGTGGCAATATATCTGAAGATTGTAATAACTCTCAGGCTGTTTATGATCACGAGTCCCTAACTTGTCACCTTAATTAATAGTCGGCTTTGCCAAAGCTGTGACTTTCTATTATTTTCTATTTCATACTTTTGTTTAACTTCAGGAAACATCTGGTTGACTGACAAAGGAACAAAATCTTGCAGACAAGCAGCCCAGGTAAGTGTCAGATAACTAGAAAGGAAATGAAAACCTGCCTCGGTTTCTCCACTGCACCACTTTGCTCTATATAATCTGGCCTAAGTAGTTACACTCTTGTTCCTAGTTCAGCTTGTGGAGGTTAGCTATTTAGAGCCTTATTCTCCATTAAATTGTCTAGTAGTATTTCAAAGACCCTGATGTTGGGAAAGATTGAGGGCACAAGAAAAGGGGACGACAGAGGACGAGATGGTTGGACAGTGTTCTCGAAGCTACAAACATGAGTCTTACCAAACTGCGGGAGGCAGTGGAAGACAGGAGTGCCTGGCGTGCTCTGGTCCATGGGGTCACGAAGAGTCAAACACGACTAAACGACTAAACAACAATTTCAAAGACACCCAAGTTGGTGGCCATCACTACCAGGTGTCATAGCTCAGTGGTAGAGTATCTGTCTGCATGCAGAACGTCCCAGGTTCAGTTCCCAGGTAGGGCTAGGAATGTACCCAGTTTGGAATCCCAGAGTGCTGCTGCCAGCCAGTGTAGTCAACACTAACCTGGATAGACCTGGGGTCTGACTCAGTATAAGGCAGCTTCCTATGTTGCATGGGGCGAATTCCATAGTTTAACTCTGCACTTGACCCTTATTTTGTCCATCCTGAATCTTCCAACATTCAGCTTCTGCATATCTGACCAATTAATAACCATATTTGATTGACCTTTTTTTTTTTTTTTACTCTGCTCACAATTCAGACTGCTTTGTATGAAACGAAAGGGTATGTGGTTCTTTTTCCCTTGCTTTTCCAGCCGAGGAAAATTAAGCTGCTCACAGCTTTCATAATGTCACCCATTTCATCCCGATGTTGTAACCAAGCAGGAAATAAACAACTCTTGATTTCCCATCTGGCGAGCTCAGCACTGTAAACTAGCAAGGGAGTTTGATAGATTTCAACACACACGCACAGCGCAGAACACCACGTCGCCGATTTCTTCCAAGGAACCCTGTCCATCTTTGCAAGGTCCTAGCTTTCAGGAAAAGAACTGTTAAGTGGCTTCTGTGGTCACTCTCACCAATTACAAGATAATGGTGAATAAAATCCAGACCAGTCTTCTCATAGCATGCTCAGCAATATCCAGAAGCAATAGTGAAAAATACGATTCAAGGAGGTTTTGTCATGTTTGAACAGGAGAGACCCACAAAAACATTTGCCCATCCTGCACTGAGCAGAATAAACCACAAAGGCTGCCTGTCCCTGGACTAGTGATCATGTTTCTCACCTCAAAAGGAAGGAGAAGGGCACCATTTTTTTACCGAAAACTTACAAAATTCCTTCCCAGCTGCTTGGCACCGAGTCTTATTTCTTAAAACACCAAGCTAAAACAGTCACCATTTTCCAAGGCTGTTATTGCTGTTCTCATTCTAAATTGGATTTCATATTTTTGACATCTCGTTGCTGAGAATTGTTGCAAGCAGTGGCACAGCAGAAAGCGAGGCAAGAGGATTTTTCAAGAGTAGGAAAGTAGTATCACCTGCTAGAATGCCAGGGTTTTTTCCTTGCTCTAGCAAGTGAATGTGGAGACAAGGCGGCCTTTGCGTTTTACCATGAATGACTAATAACAGCCTGCTGGATCAGGCCAATGGCCCATGAAATCCAAAATCCTGTTCTCACAATGGCCAGCCTGAAGCCTGTGAGAAACCCACAGCCAGGATTCAAGCAGAAGAGCACTCTCACCTTTGGTGGAACCCCAGCAACTGGTATTCTTCCAACCAAGCAGACAGAGCATACCCACCATGGCTAGTAGCCTTCAATAGGCCTATCCTCCATGAATTTCTCTAATCCTCTTTTAAAGCCATCCAAGTTGGTAGTCATCACTACCTCTTGTGGGAGTGAGTTCCACAGTCGAACAATGCACTGCATAAAGAAGTCCTTTATCTATCCTGAACCATCCAACGTTCAGCTTCTGAACACAGCCCTTTGGGCATCTCTATGTGGCTCCTGAAACTCTTTCCAAGCCACAACTCCTCTCCCCAGGGTAAAGGTAAAGGGACCCCTGACCATTAGGTCCAGTCGTGGCCGACTCTGGGGTTGCGGCGCTCATCTCGTTTTATTGGCCGAGGGAGCCGGTCATGTGGCCAGCATGACTAAGCCGCTTCTGGCGAACCAGAGCAGCGCACGGAAACACCGTTTACCTTCCCGCCAGAGCGGTACCTATTTATCTACTTGCACTTTGACATGCTTTCGAACTGCTAGGTTGGCAGGAGCAAGGACCGAGCAACGGGAGCTCACCCCGTCGCAGGGATTTGAACCGCCAACTTTCTGATCGGCAAGCCCTAGGCTCTGTGGTTTAACCCACAGCATCACCCGCGTCCCTTCGCTCCCCAGGGTACTTACCTCACTATTTCACGTTTCACCCTCAAGATGCTTTTGCCTGGCTGTAATGCGTCCTTGAGGACGTTTTCGTCAAAGGCTTCCCCCAAATTCACTTTTGGAATATTAACTGCACATCAGCCAAAATTCGTCCCCCCGCCCCCGAATTTGTGGAGATGGTTTTTATCGCTTGTTGAAATGGTTTTTGTTTCTGAAGCTTGCCCTTTGGAGTTTTATGCTATTGTGCACCATTTCAGTGGCTTTGTGCTATGAAATGCTTTATATAGTAGTCTGTGAAATAAATCTCTGATAATGCCTCTCTTGCCTGCATGGAGGTTAGAGGAGGAAACCAGCCCATTGTACGAAGATAAAGTTCACATCAATGGCTCCGCCCACTTTTTCTCTGGCCCCACCCACTCCTGGCATGTGGCCCTCAGAAAGTTACCCTGAAGTGAATGCGGCCCTCAAGTTTAAAAACACCCCCCACCCCTGTGGCAGTGGAAGTCAGGGAATGAGAACAGCTTGCTATTCTATTACTGTCAACTGATCCTACTAAATTGGGTATTATGCTATTTACTAATGCTCTTTGCTTTGTGGTGTGTGTGTGTTTAATGAAGCAGCCAGCTGCCTGCATGTTTTGGACTCTTTAGGAGCTATGGAGCTGTCATGATGGGCTCCCGCTTTTCCAAATTTTCCAGCACACTATCTTGCTCTTTCAAATTGTTTTTACATATGCAATTAACTGTTTCGGTGTATGTATTGGTTTTAAATTGCTTTTGCACATACAACTGTTTTTACAGTTTTGAAGGTGTGCTTCTTTTTCTTGTGTTGTGAAACCACTCTGAGGTGCTTCAAAGGAAGCAACTCATAAATGACCAATATTAACCATTCCTCATAAGAACTGGTTTCCAGGCCCTCTCTGGAAGTTCATCGATGCCCAGCTTAAAATGTGGCACTCAGAACCAGACACTGTACTTGACGGAATATTTGCAATGCATAAATGTTTAATGTAGCAGAAAGTAACCTATTAAAAAGACTCTGGTGTCCCTGTAGCGCTGTAATAAATTAGCACATTGAAACAGCTTAGGTGGTCATTAAAAAAATAAAATAAAACAGGCCAAAACATCCCTACCTTAGCTTAGTCCCATTGCTTTAAGTCGACATGCCTATATACACGACAGAACACAGGCCCTAATCCGTCAAACGCAGGTAGCTGACAACCACACAGCTTTCTATAAAAAGCCTCAGAGCTCCTGTTCGCTTTCCACTGTCGCATTTCATTTGGCAATTTTCCATTTCTTCTGAAGCTTAAAATCCAATCACTGCAGGGGAGTTATGGGAAAGGGGAAAGAGGACTCTTTTCTTTATTAAAAAAAAAATGGAAACGAGAACACACAAACGTTTTTTCAGAAGCATTGCTATTTCAGCTAAAAGGAGTGATTGGTACATCGTTCTTACAAGCTCTCGAGACACATGCAAGAAAGGGCTTGGGATTAAAAGTCCCAGGAGAGTTTAAATAATAAGCTGTACGGCAGGAAAAAGGCATTTCAATAATAGTTACACGAGCGCCGACACGCTCCTTTTAAATAATTTAAAATTACCGTTGACACGCGGCTGTTTCCGAGCCTCTGTAACTATACACAGAACATTTACAATATTTATAAATAAATTATCACCATTGTAAACACATAATATTACGTACAATATACCAACTTCCCTCTGAGTAAAGAAGACAAATATTCCTGACTTTTCCTGAAGTCAGCATCAGAAGAGAAAACCTGCGTGCCTGGCGAGACACAGAACAGAGTCTGGCACCCATGTATGTTGGACCACCAGGAATTCAAAAATAACATCTTTTTGCACCTTTCCAGAACAGGAAAAAACCAAGGCAGGAAGCAATTTCAAGGCAGGTGGACTCGGTTCAGCTCAGTTCATATAGGTCAGACTTCAGAACAAGGTGGGGTCATATAGTTTTCTTCTTTGAAGACCAACACCAGGGCTGGGGAACCTGTGGCCCTCCAGCAGTTGTTGGACTCCCAACTCCCATCAGCCCTAGCCAATATGGCCAATGGTCAGGGATGATGCTGGACACAGCCCATCAACATTTGGAGGGTCACAGATTTTCCAGGCCTAATCTAAGCATCCTGGACGACATCTCTGTCCAGAGGGTCTACAAAGGATGGATACCTCAGATTTTCCCCTTATTAGTACTTTCAAGACTCCTTGGGGAAATGCTATTTAAACATGTATAGGAAATGTAGGGTTCAGATTATGGAAAAGGAGTGGATGAGATAACTCCATCTCCAACCTGCTCCTTACTCTCTTGTTTGACACACCTCCAAAGCTGTCGCAACCCATTCTCTCCACCTCTAAGTCTCATGTTGTGCAAAGAATCCCTGAAAGCAAGGCAATTAAATATGTTTACATCTGCCTGCAAGGTTTTTTTCTGGCTCTAAATTTACTTATTTGTTTTTTAGTACAGGAGTCTTACTGCTTTGGAAATAAACTACAGAGAGCACTCAGCCCCACAAAACGGAGAATTTGATGGCTGTCCTGGTGACATCCCAGAATATTACTCAGGAATAATTGATTGGAGGGTTAAGACCCACTCAAGGAAATAACCCACTGGTAGACCCCGAGAAAGCTGGTTTAAGGGAAAGCAACATACCAGTTGAAAATCCCAACTTTCTTTACAATTCTCAACCCCTTAACTCTGGAGCAGTTCATTGCCTAGGCAAAGAGGGATTGGTTCAAGGAAGGTAGCTGTACAAAGCCAAGTCACCCCACTGTATGCTAATTGGCTCACAGAGTTGCATATTCCGTTTCTTGACAAATAATATAATTGATATGGATAATAATTGTAATAGGCTGTATTCAACATTCGTCATACTCAAAGTAGACCCAATGAATATGACTAACGAAGGTAAAAAAAAATTAATGCGTCTACTCTGTGCAGGACTATTGTTGGCTACAATACAATGGGTTGTATCCAACTGAATCCTACTCACGAGTTGACCCATTGAAATAAAGGGGCCTAAGCTTATCATACTGGTTAATTTTGATGGGTCTACTTCAGGTAGGACTAATGTTGGATACAACTCAACAATTCTAGAAGCATTTAATTCCAGAAACTAGTAACACTACATTGGAAGCAACTGCTGCATGATTTTCAATCAAGACCAGGCTGTCATTGTGGATTCCTTCTAATAATCTTCTCTTCCAAATATAGCTAAAGAGTTGCATCAAATGTTCCTTCTCAAAGTAATGGTCCATTGAAAATATTGGACATGAGTAACTTGGCACATTATTTTCAATGGGTCTATCGTTGAGTATAACTTAGTTGGATACAAGTTGGAGAACACCCACTGAAATTACTGAACCAGGTTAATTAACTTCACTGAGTCTACTCTGAGTAGGATTAATGATTTTCAAAGGTTTCTCCTTCTCTTGACATAGAAAGGGATCTGAGGGATTTCTCTCCAGGGATAGAAGTTATACAAGCCATCCACTTATAAAAAAAATGTTTAAAGGTCAGAACATTTCCTGCTAGACTGGACATCTACCTCTAATACACCATAGCCAATGCAAAGGCTTGTCAATGACAAAAGCAGCCCCTTCTGTTTAGAAACAGCATTATGGAGCACACTAGTAATCTCTTCCACTGGTGCTGGGGACCAAGTTACCCTTCTGTTATTATTTCACTTTAAACTTGTCAGAATCCTTGGCCAACATCCACTTATCCTTTCAAAGAAAGGAAACAAACCACAGCTCTGTGTCTAACAGTACCGTAGCTTAAAGAGCCTTTAAAATCCTTCATTTTTTTGTCCCACAGTACATAAAAATTGTTCCTTTTGCCAATTCCTGCCTTTCAGGTACTATTTTCCTAGATCCCGGTTTGTTCCATGCTCTTCCCCTATATCCTTCATATGCCACACTGGCAAGGGTGATGCAATATGGCCTGACATACTGTGGAAAATCTTGGAATAATTTAAAAGTTCCGGCCGGAGGAGGAATGATTTCAGTGCGACACACATCCACCACCACCAATTTCCTCCCGCCTGGTTGTGTTCCCTTCCCCTCTTATTTGCACAGTTGCCAAGGTATACTGTCTTTCCTCACAGTTTTCAAGGTATACCATCTTTCCTCTGGCAGCACTGTGAAGGAGGCACACTCCAGTCATACGTGTATGACAGTCGGAGTTTAATCTCTTCTTTACAGAGCTTCCCTTCTTTGGCTAGAGTCTGATGCTTCTCCAACATGTCCTCAATGCTCTGTTTATGAGTCACAATGTATTTATTGTTGCAGCCCCGCGATTTATACTCCGTGTCGAAACGAGAGTCGTGAACCCTCTTCACATCCACCGGAGCAAGCCAGGCACCCAGGGATACGTCTTCAGCTTGCCATATGTTGAGATAGTCTTGCGTGAGGCGCAAGTAGTGCACCAGGTCAGCTGAAACCACGTAGCCCCCGCCCAGAGCATAGGGCAGGTAGTAGTCACAAAGGAGCCAGGTGTTCTCTTTCCATTTCCCGCCAGATTTCACACGGGCGCGCCCAGAGAAGAAGCCCCAGTAGAGGCGGCGTGGCTCCTTGGCCCTCAGCTCCTCCACCAGCACATCCAAGCGCACAAATGTGTCGTCATCAGCTTTGAGGACAAAGCGGAAGTCCAGGTGCTGGTCGAGCCACACAAACATAGCCAGGACCTTGGCGGTCAGGTTCTCGTAGGAGTCTCGGAGGTCAGGAAGGAGGAGAAGATCCTGATGGTGGCTCTGTTCCAGCTCCAAGGTGTGGAGCTCCTCCCCGGTCAGGCCTCCGGTGCCCACCACAAAACGGAACCAGACATCTCCGGTGGGGACCCGGCCGGCCACCGAGAGCCATGTGCTGCGGATGATGCTACGCCGCTCTGTGTATTTGGGGCCGCTGGCCACCAACACAGCCAGGAAGGCGCTCTCCTCGGGAGGAGGAGGTGGGGCGGCTGCTGGAGGGTGAGGCCCACTCACACCCCCGGTCCGGGCGGGAGACTGTTGCTGAGGCAGCCCCCAGCCGTGGGAGGGCTTGAGGCCTTCTGAGGTGCACTTGGCCAAGTAGAGGAGCACCACGCCAAAGAGAGACAGGCCGCCGAGTCCCAGAGCCGTCTTGTGGCGGCACAGCAGGCGGAGGAGCTTCATGGCAGCAGGAAGAAACGTGGTGGCAGCTAAGGGGCGGGGCAAACACCACTTCCCCTGGGGCAGCTTCCTCAGCACTGCCCTCTTTCAGGAGGTGGTCCAATGAAAGGGCTTCTCCCTTTTAAGGGGCGGCTCCAAAGACTTCTCAGGCAAATAGCCCCCACAATGACCCTAATGGCTCCTCCCTCTTTGGTGGCGATAGTCCTGGGTCCTCCCTCCCTCTGGGATTGGTGGTCCCAATGCTCTGGCTCCTCCCCTTTAGGGGCTGCAGTGACGTCTCCTCCAGCCTTCTAAGGGGCGGGAAGCGGCACTAGCTCCGCCCACACATTCGCCTCGGGACAGCAAGGCCTCGAGGGTTGGGGATCAGCCCCGCCCCTTTCTCCTCAGGCGCGAGGCCGCGGGGCGGGGGGAATCCCCTCTCTCTCCTCTCAGAATTTTTGGCGGGAACAGCCCTGCTGGCTACGGGTGGCGGGTTGGGACAAACGGCCGCCGCCACCTCGGAACGTTTCCGAACGCGCCGCTGGGTCCTCCCTCAGCTGCCTCAAGCGCGGGGTTCATTGTCTTCTGTCAGATTTTCAGTTCCTCTCCCGCACCACCCCCGCCCCGTTTCTCCTCTTCCCGCGCGCGTTCCCTAAATAGAAATATGTGAAGGGAGCGCGCGCGATGGTTTTCGGAGCGGTACTTATCCTTTTCTGCAGCTCCGTCTTCTCCTGAGGCGGCGAGAAAATGCGAATGAATAGAAATGTATGGGGGAGGGGGAGGAGGAGGGGGCCGAACAAAGTGGAGTCACGTGACTTTCCGTCTTCGAATCGCTCTCTCACGCCATGTCTTGTCAGGGCTGGGGAGGCGGAAGACGGCGGCGCCATCTTTGAGGGCATTTCATGCCCTGCCCTCGAGCTAATACAGTAGCGCGTATTCGCCACCTTGTGTCCGGGCACTTGAGGCTGTGGCTGTTGCCATCTTAGCTAAGGGCACCGCTGCGTCCTTATCTGGCCGTGAGTATCGGCCATCTTGTGTTAGGGCAATGGAAGCCGCGGCTTCTCGCCATCTTGACTAAGGGCGTTTCCCTCAGGTGTGTTTTTTTCCCCCAGTGCGAGTTTTTATCTGCCATCTTGCCTTAGGGCAGCTGAAGCCGAAGCGGTTGCCGTCTTAAAATTGGGAAAAAGGCCCTGTCAGCCTTTCGTCTTTGGTACACAGACACCTATCCCACCTAAACAAGTTGCCATTTAGTGAAATTCAGTGAAATCGCACAGGGAATAAAAATGCAGCAGCCCCCCACGATCCAAAACAAAAATGGCTACGTAAGACTCACGTGCCCGAAACAAGCATGTCTTCCCTTATTTTTTATAAAGGTCCCCTTCATTCTATTGAAATATAGCTTCCTAACAAGGCGCCTGTTCTGCTGTTGCAGTAGTATTTAACAAGAGGTAGAGCTGAATAGGCGCTATTTTATTTCAGCTTTTATTGCGGCGAGGCGAAAAGAGGCAGACCACCCGCTTCCCGCCCCGACTAATTAGTCTTTATACAACTGGAGAGGGAGGTCCTCGCGTTGAATTCGGGCAGCCTCGGGAGGCCCGGAAGAGGCGGGCTCAACTCTCGTCGGAGCGGCGAATGGCGTTTCCTGTTTCCGGCCAGCCTCCCTCCCTCCCTCCCTCTGGCAGGCGCGCGGCGTGTGTCTGTCTGTCTGTCTGTCTGTGAGTGGGAGGCGGAGAGGAAGCCCCAGAGCAGCGAGGCGGGGCTGGGCATGAGGAGCCTCCGTGGCCTGCGGGGCAGGTATGGAGCCGGCATGGGAGCAGGGCAGAAGGTCACGGCAGCCTCTGAGCATACGCAGAGCGCAGGAGGAGCGAATTGGGGCGGGGAAGACAGAGAGGGAATGAGGGGCTTTGCCGGCTCTTTTAATGGATACCCTTGAACGAACTTTCCGTTTTATTTGTTTCGCCTGCCTGCTTTTAAAAATTGATTTATTGTTGTTATTATTATTATTATTTGGATTGTCAGCTACGTTTCAATTCAAGGGCGTTTGAAAACGATCCCAGCGGGATCGGTTATTGTGCCTCCTTAATTGCCGGTTTTAATACCTGCTTTGGGAGTCATTTTTTTTGGGTATCTGTGTGCAAACAAATTGCGGAGGAATAAACAGCTGTAAATAACGTCCGCGGGTGCCACGTAATGCCCATTTCGCGTTTATAAGAGAAGTTGGTCGGTTTGCGTGGCAGCGCTTGCACTTTGGAACTCCCTGTCTATGGAGATCAAGGAGGCGCCGGGCTCCTTTGGAAAAGTTATTGCTTATGCAAGCCTACCCAGATGCTTAGAAAGTTAATGTGAAATTTTAAATTATTATTATAATTATTATTTGTTTAGTTGCTTTATGTTGCCCAGGGAAACCCAATGCAACATACAACCAGACAAATAACAACCTCCCCCATTCCCAACAGATGCATTATAACCAAGGGGGATGAGGAATACATAATAATTTTAATCTGTTTTAAAATTTTAACTTTTGTATGTTTTAAAGTAGGCTTGTGAATTTTTCTCGGCTTTATCTTTCTGTAAGCCACTTTGAGGTTATTTTTTTTACAGTCAAGCAGTGTGTAAATGTTATGAAATAAATATCCACTGTTAGTGCTGCTACTCAGGGTAGACCTATTGAAGTCAGTGGACACTGGTAACTTAGCTTCATTGATCTTAGTGGGTCTGCTTTTGACTTGGGCCTAAGTTGAATACAACCCATAGGGATATTTTTATTTTTATTATTTTATTTTAAAATTTGATTCTTTGTGCATGAGTAGACTTGTCTCTTCCCTGGTTTTACTGTTTGGTTGTTGGGGTATTTTTAGGTTGTTTATCAGAGCATGTGCAGAATTTATAGCATAGGCAAAAAAAAAAAAAGGCATGTGAAGGGTAAAAAAAATCCTTGTATAAAAGCAACAACTGTTGCTGTTGGAACATTTGGACAGAGCATTTCTTTACTGAGCAGAACAGAAGTATAGTTCCCTTTTCCTTTTATAAGAAACATATTACAAAGTGACTTTCCTATTTGGCATGCAAAAAATGTCAGGTGTATTAGAAGTGTTTTAACTTGTGGGCAATGAAAGACGCTTTGTCGGAAACAAGTGACCCAAAAATCTGAAAGAAAATGGCTAGCCAAACAGTGAGCTCTTATTTGGACACAATTCTAAGCCATACCATGGCTTGTTACCCAGCAGGAATGAGGGAGAAGTGAGGCGCCCGCTACTTTATCAGAATGCAGTAATATGCTGTGCATTCACATTAAACTGTGGTTTACTATGCTGTGGAAACCGGGTCACTGAGATTGTCAGCCTGTGTCTTGACTGTAGCGCTTCAAACTGTTGGGGTGGGGGGGAGTCAGGAGAAATAGTGCATAAGACAAACTTCTCTAGTTTAGTATTTTTCTTAATGTGCTGGAGTCTGTAAAAGAAGTAAGTGAAGCCTTTTAATAGACCCTGAAGCAGATTACATACTTTTAATAGAGCTTGGGATCTGGGACTGAACTTCCATGAATAGGGTATTCTCCTCACAAAGCAGAAGAACCACAACAGTGGGGGGAAGTGGGGATTAAAGCCTGCTCTGACTCCGTTAATTATTAGCACCTGCCTGATGAAATTTGCATGCCTTTTAAATGCACCTTGGATGCAAAGGGTATCCAATGAGTCACTAAAGAACATGTAGTTTGAACCTTGTCTCTTACGTAGACCAGTTGCACAAGTTTTGAGTCTATTGGAATCTGTTGAGGATGAAACATTAGAAGTTAATATGGCAAATTCTTCTGAGGAGCAGTGAGCTAGTGACACCTCTGAATATCATTCAGATTTATATTTCCAATCAAAAAATAAGCAAAAGTGTGTGTGAATTGTGCACGAATATTGTGTCATGGTGTGGGTGGGTGGGATGGCACACTGACTCAAAGTACACTGACTAAAAGTACCAGCTTTCCTACGTTTGGGGTTCTGACTTGCTCCAGAAGCAGGGTTTGAAATTAGCAGGCTGCCAGGCACATTTTGTGCCTAAAAAAAATCTATCTCCATTTGCGAGCACCTCAAAAAGTCTGAGTGCATTTTTTGCACCTGGGTGACACTGAAGGATTACTGAAATGTATGTGCTTTGAAGCCTTAAGTATACGTTAAGGAATTTAACAATAAAGAGTAGAGTGTTTTGAAAACTGAAATATGGTATACCAATATTTTATTGTAAACACCAAATTAGACATGTATTAACAATTTCTGCTAAAAATGTGATATTAACAATGTCACTTTTGTGAACAGCATATCCATCCATGCTTATCGAAATAATAAAAAGTGTTGCCAATGGCGACTAGACATTCTGTTTTGGTGCCCACAATTCAGGTCCCAGAAGTCATTTGGCTCCTAGCTTTTCTATCCCAGTAGTTTCTAACACTTTCCAGGAGAGCATCTTAACTGCAAAGTGGTGTGAAATATTTGTGATTCTTTTTGCAAACTGTGTTTACAGGATTAGAGCTTTAGGCCTTACAGAGTTTGCCATGGTGGGATTATTGGGAAAAATTCTTTATGCTTCTAACCATCTAATGTGTGCCCCCCCACCAAAGAAGCTTAAGTGAGATGTGTCCTCATTAAATGATATATTTTTCAGAGGGAATGGTTGGAGTTCTATTAATAGGTTTTTGTTTTTTAAAAAGGTTTGTCAGAAGAAATATATAAAATATTACCTACTACAAAATAAATTTTTTTGAGTTTTATTTATTTTTTGAGTTTTATTTATTTATCTACTACAAAATTAAGGGGCAGCATTTCGTTCACCTGACCATAGACCAGAATGCGGAACTGAATTAGTTACGTATTTATTGTAGTTATATCCCACTGTTTTTCTCCAAGGACCCCCCAGGTGGTGTACATGGTTCTCCCCCTCCCTTCCTCATTTAATCCCCACAACAACCCAATGAGGTAGCTTAGACTGAGAGGCAGTGACTGATCCAGGCTGAATAGGGATTTGAACCCTATCCTAGTCCAGCACTCTAACCACTATGCCACACGGACTGTCTGGAGGGCCAGATCTTTACCCCCCCCCCCCCCGCTCAAAAAATGGGCCAGTTTTGACAGGTGGTTGGCGTCACCTACGTGCCCATCAGCTGGTCAATGCTGAGAGCAAGCTCCTTTGAAGGTGTGTTGCTGCCTGCAGCAGTCAGCTGATTACCACCAACAGCACACTTCCACAGTCCCATCTGCAGGTGTGGTGTTCTACTTCAAAATGTGGTTACGGCTGCCAACCTGAGACAGCTTTAATGGTGGTGTGGAGGAGGAAGACAACTTTGCAAGGTTGTCAAAGGTTACCTGTCGTACTGGAAAGCAGGGCACCTAGCTTCTGAATTCCAGTGGCTTTGGGCCACAAATGGAAGAGTGCTCTTGCACTTGTCTCCTGTTTGCAGACTTCCCATCACCATTGGCCTCTGTGGGAAGCTAGGAAGCTGCCTCATGCTGAGTTTGATCATTGGGTGTTGCCAGCTCTGACTGGCAGTGGCCCTCCAGAGTTTCATCCCAGAGTCTATTGAAGACGCAGAGGGGTTCAACCAGGGAGCTTCTGCTTGCGAACCAGACGCTCTGCCACTTAGCTATAGTCTTTTCAACAGGCATCTGATTGGTTGTTGGGCTAGGTGGACCGTTAGCCTGATCCAGCAGGGTTCCTGAATTCTTAGCAGGACGTTCGGTATGATCCAGCAGGACTGATCTTCTGTTCTTAATAATTAGATGCTATGAAAATATTGCCCAAGGTTAAGGCAGTGGTTCACGTTTAGCACTAACTATCCAGAGCGAAATGTTGAGTCTAATGGGGAATTACTAGCTCAGCCTCTGAGCTCCTAAAAACTGCCTGGAAACAACGGATCATGTTCACCTGTCTGTTTTCCTCCCAGGGTATTCCATCGCCATACCAGTATTATAAGCTGCTGACGCTCAAGGGGAGGAGCGATGGTTTCGAAACGGGCCTTCATCTGCAGCCTGGGCTCCATCTACCTGTCCCTCCTCTTTGTTTTCCTCCTCATGGACGTCTATGCGCGGCCTGCCAACAACTCTGCCTTGAAAGAGAAGGCGGCGGCCGAGAACAACGATGAGAATGAGATCCTGCCCCCGGACCACTTGAATGGGGTCAAGATGGAGATGGACGGGCATCTCAACAAGGAGTTCCACCAGGAGGTCTTCCTTGGGAAGGAGATGGAGGAGTTCGACGAAGATTCAGAACCACGCAGGAACAGGAGGAAGCTCATGGTTATTTTCTCAAAGTGAGTGTTGCTCCAAATTGAATTGAGGCAGATGCACAGAGGAACTTGGGTCCATCTAGCATAGACGTCATCAGCTCAGTGCATTCCAGATGTTTTGCAGCACTACGAAATGTTGGCTGGTAGGGCTGTTGTAGCTTCTGCAGTGCAGGAGGTTTGAGAAAGCTAGTCTAACTCACTGCCTGCACCAGCTGGCAGCAGCTCTCTGAGGTCTCAGGTGGAGGTCTTACCTGGCTGTACCTGGAGATGCCAGGCCTTGGACCTGGTGTCCAATAGGGGGTTAAACCATTTCCCTGATGTGATTCTTTCCACTGCAGGGATCCTAGAAGCTTCAGGGTGCAATTTAGATTGGGCGAGTGGTGTATGTTAACATCCACCAATGTCACCTTTTAATTTGGAGCTGCTGTAGTTGCGTCAGGTAACTGAAAAAGCGGGCAGTTCAATCACCACTGTTTACATGTACACCGCCTTTCCATAGCAAACCATGCCCCAAGGCAGGTTACAACACCAGAGGATTTACAAAATTACAAAAACGTAGCAAAGCCTAAGAAATCATGAACAATGAATGAAAGCATCTTAATAAGTATACAGCAAAGTTAAACAATCTCCACGTAATTTATAATAAGGTCCAGCAATAAAGATTCAAAAACTCTATACCAAATAACAGCAAACATTAAGCATCCCCAAAATTAAATCTTCACCCCAGCAAAAACTGCCAACCAATAGCCCATCCTCATAGTCTTCAGGTCTTGCAGAATTCACAGCCCTACAATAGTCTTTGCCCTCAGCCAGTGTCTCTGAATGAGGGAATCAGCTGTGAGTGTGCAGATGTCACTCTGTCCAGCCACCTTTGCTTGAGAATAATTTATCACGTGTGTCTGACGCTGTTGGGTCAGTAACCACTTCCCAGACATCCTGTCTGCAAATTAAAAGGTTTATTGTTAAGTGCATCGCAGATAAGCAGCCAGCAATAATGAAATCAAAAGCTGATTAGAGCTCTTGCCGGCCGATTAGTGACTGTATGTCATTCTGGAGCCCCCTATCCCTCCTCCCTTCTCATCGCAGAAAGGGCAGGTCACAAGCAGTTTGGCTGCCTTTGCCTTGACCTTGCAAATGATCTTGTGCAAAGGGCAAGCACTTTTTATTCTCCGGTGTCCCCTTGGGAGCAGAGAGAGGAAATTTGACCAGGCAGATCTCAGGAAGCAAATGATTTTTTTAAAGAGAGAGAGAGAGAGAGGAAGAGGTAAATCTCAACAATTGGGGTGAAGAGTGGCAGGGATCTTTCCTGAGTGAACAAAGTATATAAAACATAAAATTTCCAACACAATGCATGATTATTATTATTTTTAAAAACCTCAGTATAAATGGTTACTGATGTTTGCTTTCTGATTTCTTTTGATTCATGCACTGGTCAGTAATTTATGTGGGTCTGCTCTGCACAGTAGTAGAATTGAACCCTTTGGTTTTAAAAATATTTGAGAATATATATATATATATATATATATATATATATATATATAGTCAAAACATTTTAAAAATCCATTCTCAAGGTTTTCAGGAGGAAGCCTTTTCCATCTCTACATGGAAATCCCAGAGATTTAATCTGGCACCAGTGATCTTAGATGTTCCCCACATGTGCTCCAGTCTTTGATCTCCAAGGGTGACTAGATCCAAATGCCACACAGGTTTTCTTTGTGGCCAAGTAGAGGCTTGAACCGCAGTTATTCTGGCATCAGAACTAATTGCCTTTCTTCCATTCCGCATAGATTAATTGACTGCATTTCTTTCCCACCTTTTTTCACCCAAGGGGTGTACATGGTTTCTCTCCCCGGCTCCCATTTTATCCTCACAGCAGCCTTGTGAGGTAGGTTAGTCTGAGAGACTGTGACTGGCCCAAGGTCACCCAGCGACTTTCATGGCTAGACAGAGATTCACACACACACACACACACACACACACACACACGGTCTCCCAGGTCCTAGTCCAACATGCCCTTCACCTCTGGAGCCCTAACTTGACTCCTTTCCTATCTCTGGGAGCCAGTGTGGTGTAGTGGTTAAGAGTGGTAGACTCATAATCTGGTGAACCGGGTTCGCGTCTCCACTCCTCCACATGCAGCTGCTGGGTGACCTTGGGCTAGTCACGCTTCTCTGAAGTCTCTCAGCCCCACGCACCTCACAGAGTGTTTGTTGTGGGGGAGGAAGGGAAAAGGAGAATGTTAGCCGCTTTGAGACTCCTTCGGGTAGTGATAAAGTGGGATATTAAATCCAAACTCCTCTTCTTCTTCTTCCCTGCCACAGAGTCGACATCAACAAGGACAAAAAGATCAGTGCAAAGGAGATGCAGCGCTGGATCATGGAGAAAACAGAAGAGCACTTCCAGGAGGCCGTGGAAGAGAACAAAATGCACTTCCGGGCCGTGGACCCTGATGGTGATGGTAGGAGACGGATAGATGGGGCAGCTTCGGTCACAAAAGGAGTTGTCATGGCATGTGTCAGCGCAGCACAGGCAACCTGGTGCCCTCCAGGTTTGTGGGGTTCCAGCTCTCACCAGCCCCAGCTATCATGCCCAATGGGCAAGGGTGATGGGAGTTGCTGTCCAATGCACCTGGAGAGCAACAGGTTGCCAACCCTTAGTTTACCAGCTGCCAGGCAGCTGCATGGTGTGCATGTAGCGCAAGAAGCATCCATGCAGCCCACCAGCCATACAGTTGTCTGTCAGGGGCTTCCTGGGCCAGGTAGGGAATCTTTTCCTGCTGGGGAAACAACCTGTTGATGAGCTGGGAATGACCAGCGCCAAAAGTGGGTTTGCCACCTCCTCCTCTCTGGCTTAGTGTCCTGCACAGACGAGGCTGGAGAGACGTGGGGACGTCTCTCTCTTACACGTGCCGAGATTTGCCAAGGCACAGTTCAGAAAACCCTTTTTTCTTTCTTGACCTTACTCCGAACTGCAGTGCAGGCGAGAGCCTGGGGTAAGGGCTGGTGGAGAGTCAAGGCCATTTGCTCCTAGTAGACCAGCGAGTGGAGTGGATTTTGTGGGCACCTTTGGGGGCCAAAATACCCAGCTGTTGGGTCACCTTAGGCCTGGTGGGTCACATTGATGCAGGCACACTCTAGTTTCTGTTAAGGGGAGGGACCAAAGTGTTGGTGTTGACCTTTAAAGCCCGAAACGGCCTTGGCCCAGTATATCTGAAGGAGCGTCTCCACCCCCATTGTTCAGCCCGGACACTGAGGTCCAGCGCCGAGGGCCTTCTGGTAGTTCCCTCACTGCAAGAAGCTAAGCTACAGGGAACCAGGCAGAGGGCCTTCTCAGTAGTGGCACCCGCCCTGTGGAACACCGTCCCATTAAATGTCAAAGAAATAAACAACTACCTGACATTTAGAAGACATCCGAAGGGAAGTTTTTAATGTGTGACATTTTAATGTATTTTTAATCTTTGTTAGAAGCCGCCCAGAGTGGCTGGGGAAACCCAGACAGATGGGCGGTGTACAAATAATAAATTACTATTACTATTACCATAGCTTAGTGGCAGGGGACCTGCTTTGAATGCAGGATGTGGCATCACCAGTTCAAATAAAGAGGTGGCAGGAGAGGTCCTTTCCCAGTGTCCTGCAAGTAGGACTGAACACAAGAGCCCTCTCCCCTCCTGCTGCTTCCAGCAACTGGTATTCAGAAGCATGACTGCCTTTGACTATGAAAGTAGAACACAGCCATCAGGGTTAGTAGCCAGTGACAGCCTTATGCTCCATGAATTTGTCCTCTTTCAAAGCCTTCCACATTGATGGCCATCAGTACCTCTTCTGGGAGCAAGTTCTGTAGTTGAATGGTGTTCTATGTGACATCTTTTCTTTTGTTTGCCCTGAATCTTCCAACGTTTAGCTTCAGTAGATGTCCCCAAGTTCTAGTGTTTGAATAGTGGGGAAATCCTATATCCACTTCCCATGCATTAAAAAAAACATTCTTTGTCTGCTAGGATATTCTTCATTTTAATTGGTTCCTTTTCCCCCCTAGGTCACGTGTCCTGGGATGAGTACAAAATCAAGTTCTTGGCAAGCAAGGGGATGAATGAGAAGGAGGTGGCTGAAAAAATCAAAAACAATGAGGAGCTCAAAATAGACGAGGAAAGTAAGTAGTGCTGGTCTCTCTCTCTGCCCACCTCCCCCAAAGACCACATGAAAACTGTCGTGTTCTGCCTTCAGTTCCTGGAATGGGTTGAAACGCTAGCTTGGGCACTGGAGTTTCAAAGTAGACAAGATCTCTGCAGGTTTTACTTGTTAATAGCTAGGCTGCTCGTTTTAGAGCAGCTGCACCTAAAATAAAAATCGAGTAAACTGATCCTGCTCTTCCTTCACAAAGCTCAGAAGAGGGTACATCGTCATCTTGCCCCCCCCCAAAAAAAACACCTTATGCTTGCAACAATCCTGCGACTGTGAGATGATAGTTCAGTGAAGGTTTTCCCAAAATATAGTCAAGGAAGCTTCCTGCGACTTGTGGTGTCTGAATTGGGGAGGGACCACAGCTCGGTGATAGAGCATCAGCTTTGCCTGCAGAAAGTCGCAAGGTTCAATCCTTCACATCTCCAGGTGGGGTTGGGAATGTCCCCTGCCTGGAATTCCAGAGAGCCACTGCCAGTCAGTATTAATATGGAACAGTAGCATAAGATGCCGTCTATACTATACATTTGAAGCTGTATCATGCCGCTTTCAGCAGCCATGGCTTCCCCCAAAGAATCCTGGGAACTGTAGTTTAAGGGTGCTGAGAGTTGTTAGGAGATCCCCTATTCCCCTTTCAGAGCTTCAATTCCTGGGCAGAAATATTGATCGTTAAGCCACTCTGGAAATTGTGGCTCTGTGAGGGTCTTCTAAAGAACTCTCAGCAACCCTAACAGACTACAGTTCCCAGGATTCTTTGGGGGAAGCTAGCACAGGGGAAGGAAAGGAGCTCCGCACTTAACTGTTCTCAGCGGTGTTCATCCACCCCATGGGCTTCTGAGAGTTCAGCAAGCATTGCCCCCCGCACACACACACTTTGCAACTGTAAGAGCTAAGGTTTTCTTTTTAGAAAAGATTCTCTGGAAGCTGAATTATCTGCCCAGTATCTCATTTGCCTGCAGAGGAGGAAAGGGGTTGAGAATGGGCTAACGCCACTCACTCACTCCACTGGCAGGAAGGAGACTCTTTCAGAGGGGCTACCCAAGTGGGCTGCACAAGAACTCTCTGCCAAGCTCAAAGGAAGAAAAGGAAGGAACCGGGGGGGGGGTTCTCCTCTTTTGCCTTCGGATGAGGCAGCGGGAAGCCAGATCGCTCGAGCAGAATGGCTTGGGTTCTCCCTGCAGATGGCTGCATTTCCTTCTGCAAGAGCGAGGACTCTGAGCACCCAAACAGCAGGGTTTGGGGATTTCATTCTGTGCTACTGCAGGATTACAGCACACACAGAGCAGTTGTATCTTTGTAGCAGAGGACACACTTTTCATACAAAGGTTGCCCGGTTCAGTCCCCTGGTAGGGCTGGGAGACACCTTCCCTGTCTGAAACCCCAGAGAGCCCCTATCAGATAATGTATTCTGAGCTAAATGAACCAGCGCTGTAGTCTGGCTTGGGTTCAAACCATTGTCAGGTTACAACAATCCAGAAGTGTGTGATAAAGCATTTTCTGGTAATCGGTCTGTGTCCTTTTGACACAGTCCGATAGACACGGTCTGTGCCTATCATGTCCCAGCCTCCTTTCGTTCCCTTTTCCCAAACCAAAACGTCCCAGATGTTTTAACCCTGCTGCTTTTTCTTTTAATTTGATTGTTTTAATTGCCCACTTTTTTTAAGCACCTTTACTCTTTCCGTGATACCCTTTCCGTGATACTAAGATGGAACAGTCAGAACTGTACTCTGTATAAAGCCATAGAACTCTGAATGCACCCTGCCCTTAGCAGCTGTTTCAGGATTTCTAACATTTTTATTACGGATAGCATCCCTATGTCCACTGGCATTTCTACCAGGGCTCTGAAACTTATTCATTCATTATTTTATTCATTAGATTTATTCTACTGCACTTCCCCATAAGATCTCAGGGCGCTTCACTGAACACATTGACCACGTGAACTGCTAAACTAGAGACATGTCCTTTCACAAAGTTCACTTCCAGCAGCATTATTGACCAAAGCAGTATTTCTTTGGAGTAACGTATTTCTAGAACTGGAACAGGCACGGTCAAATTTGAAAACACGCACACGCGTACGCAAATATATTGTGCCATCCAATCTCAAGCGAGGCTGTCGGCGTTTGTTGCATGCAAGCCTTTAATCTCATCCGCATGCATTACGCACACGCTGCCTTAATCAACTGTGTCTTGAGCAGTGCGCCATATGGAGCTGGGAAGCCCATCTGCTGCCACTCCAGCCTGAAAGGAAGCTGGCTGCCTCATCTCCAGACTCTTCCCTCTTCCATATTGCTCCCCTTAGGGGTTTGCCGTTGCTCATTTTGCCAGAGCCGCTCGGATACAAGAAGCTTGCTGGAGGCGTAAGACACTCCTTAAAAGACGGAGCCTAATGTCAGTCTTGCCTAGAGCTGATCTGCGCCACAGATTTGCAGCACATGAGCTCCCCCAAAGAATCCTGGGAAGTGTAGGTAAATTCACAGTGGGGCTGTGAATTGCAGCTCTCTTGGGTGGGAAGCTTCAGTTCCCCAGGTTTCTTAGGGTGGAGTCATGTGCTTTAAATGGTGTGGATCTGTCCTTCGATGCATAGGCCCCCTTCAAACATTACCAGGGAGTGTGGCTTCCAGGCCTCCTCACCCAGCCCAAAGGCATCTTTGAGGAGATCTGGAGCTCTTGGGCATGCTGCGTAGCTTTCTGCTGTTATCTCGTCCCCACTTCTGGAGAGGAGAAAGGAGAAGAACACCTTTATTTATAAGTTATAATGCATATGAACCCTCTTTAATCAAACCCAGGCCTGCAAAGAAGTTAGCCATCGTAGTAAAGTAGTTATCTCCCGCTTGGGCTACTACAATGCGCTCTACGTGGGGCTACCTTTGAAGGTGACCCGGAAACTGCAATTAATACAGAATGTGGCAGCTAGACTGGTGACGGGGAGTGGCCGCCGGGACCACATAACACTGGTCCTGAGAGATCTGCATTGGCTCCCAGTACGTTTCCGAGCACAATTCAAAGTGTTGGTGCTGACCTTTAAAGCCTTAAATGGCCTTGGTCCTGTATACCTGAAGGAGCATCTCCGCCCCCATCATTCAGCCCGGACACTGAGATCCAGCGCCGAGGGCCTTCTGGCGGTTCCCTCATTGCGAGAAGTGAGGTTACAGGGAACCAGACAGTGGGCCTTCTCGGTAGTGGCGCCCACCCTGTGGAACACCCTCCCTTCAGATGTGAAGGAAATAAGCAGCTATCCTATCTTTAAAAGACATCTGAAGGCAGCCCTGTTTAGGGAAGTTTTTAATATTTAATGCTGTATTGTTTTTAACACTCGATTGGGAGTCGCCCAGCGTGGCTGGGGAAGCTCAGCCACATGGGCGGGGTATAAATAATAAATTATTATTATTATTATTATTATTATTATTATTATTATTATTTATTAATTAAAGCAATCCACTGCACTAATAAAAAAGGAAATAAAAGGCCCCGTCTGCACCATTCACAGCCATGGCTTCCCCCAAGGAATTATGGGAAGTGTGGTTAATTAAGGGTATTGAGAGTTAGGAAATCCCTGTCCCCTTCACAAGCCTACAGTTCCCAGTGTTTCCTGCTAAAAGTGGTTGGCTGTTAAATCATTCAGGGGATTGCAGCTCTGGGAGGAGAACAGGGGTCTCTTAACAACTCTCTGCTGTGGTGGTCAGGTGCTGTTGCGGACCTCTCTCTGGGGCTTCTGGTTGGACACTTTGAGAGAAATATGCTGGACAATACTGGCCATTGGCCTGACCCAGCGGGCACTTATTTTGCTCTTAGGTCAGGGATGAATCCTGGCACCTTTTGCATGCAAAGGAGGTGTCCTGCCACTAAGGTAATGGCTACTTCCAGTATTATAGGGCATATATCAGGGTTGGGGAAATTCCAGTCTGCAGGCTACATTGGGTCAGTCTTGATCTTGTTGATGTTTTTTTTAACCATGCTATTTCGCAAGAAGAAAAACTTTGCAATACGTGTTCAAAATTTGCCGATCAAATTTAAAGAGAATGTGATTTTTAAAACGGAAAGAAAGAAATCTGTTTGTCTGTCCCTGATCTGTAGCACAGGAAGTCCTTGACAACTTGAAAGACCGCTGGTACCAAGCCGACAATCCGCCCACGGACCTTTTGCTGAATGAGGAAGAATTCCTGTCCTTCCTTCACCCAGAGCACAGCAGGGGAATGTTGAAGTTTATGGTGAAGGAAATCGTCCGGGACCTGGGTACGTTTCCAAGCCGTCACGGGCAGAATCTCATGAAAACTTGACCTCATCCCAGCTACTAATGTTGCTGGAATACCTCCTGGAGAGATGTCCGATGGGGACGAGATCCCGGAGGATGCCGAATGGTTACCCCCGTTGGCTGCTGGTAGTGGGCAGAGGGAGACTTGGGACACAGAGACAGGAGTGTGGGTTGTGTCCTGTGAAAGGTAGCATCGGGCACAGTGTTGCGGAAGGGCCATAGCTCACTGGAAGAGCATCTGCCTTCCATGCAGGATGTCCGGGTTCAGTCTGCGACATCTCCCACTAGGGCTGGGAATTAAAAGCCCGGAGAGCCATGCTGCCAGTCTGTGTAAACAGTAATCAACTAGGTGGGCCAATAGTCTTTCTTAATTCCAAGGCAGTTGGCTATGTTCCCAGGAAGGGAATAATAATGATAATGATAATAATAATAATAATAATAATAATAATAATTTATACCCCACCCTCCCCAGCCAAGACCGGGCTCAGGGCGGCTAACAACCAATAATAAAAACAAGTTGATTAAAATACAATTTAAAAAACAAGATTAAAATACAACATTAAAACATTAGGATGCAGCCTCATCACAGGAGGAGAAAGGAAAAAGAAAGAAGGGGAGGGAATAAAACTGATTCTAAGCCAAAGGCCAGGTGGAGCAACTCTGTCTTACAGGCCCTGCGGAAAGAAATCAGATCCCGCAGGGCCCTGGTCTCATGAGACAGAGCATTCCACCAGGCCGGAGCCAGTGTTGAGAAGGCCCTGGCTCTGGTTGAGGCTAATCTGACTTCCTTAGGGCCTGGCACCACTAGGGTGTTGCTATTTACGGACCTTAAGGTCATCCGTGGGGCATACCAGGAGAGGCAGTCCCGTAGGTACGAGGGTCCTAGGCCGTGAAGGGCTTTAAAGGTCAAAAGCAGCACCTTAAATCTGACCCTGTACTCCACCGGGAGCCAGTGCAGCTTGAAAAGCACTGGGTGAATATGCTCCCATGGCAGAGACCCTGTGAGGAGCCTCGCTGCAGCATTCTGCACCTGCTGGAGTTTCTGGGACAGCTTCAAGGGCAGCCCCCGCAAGTGAAGGGAGTTGGTTCCTCATCCCCATACCATCCCAACCCAGCCAGAGGACCTCTGTCTTCTAAGGTTTTAGTTTCAGTCGGCTCCCATGAAACCATCCAGAGCCCATAGTTCAGGGGCAGAGCATCTTCTTCTCATGTAGTCATTCCCCTGCAGCTCAGTTGGTTAGAGCATGGTGCTGATAATGCCAAGGTTGCAGGTTCGATCTCCGTATGGGATGGCTGCATATTCCTGCATTGCAGAGGGGTGAACTAGGTCCCTTCCAACTCTACAATTCTGTGATCTCCAGAAATGTCTCTTACCTGAACTCCTGGAGGGCAGCTGCCAGTCGCTGCAAGCCAGAGCTGAGGAACCTTTGGCTCTCCAGATGTTCCTGAACTCCCATTGGCCCCAGCCATTGGCCAGGGTTGATGGAAGTTGTTCAGCAGCATGTGGAGGGCCACAGGTTCCCCATCCATGCCGTAGGCAGTACAGTGGTACCTCCGGTTAAGTACTTAATTCGTTCCAGAGGTCCGTTCTTAACCTGAAGCACCACTTTAGCTAATGGGGTCTTCTGCCGCCGCCGCACCGCCGGAGCACGATTTCTGTTCTCATCCTGAAGCAAAGTTCTTAACCTGAGGTACTATTTCTGGGTTAGCAGAGTCTGTAACCTGAAGCGTATGTAACCTGAAGCGTATGCAACCCAAGGTACCACTTTACTGAGACCTGTGGTTTCACTGTGTGCAAGGCAGATTCCTACATTCCAGTTTCCAGCTTTTGGAGACAGCTTCCATACCTGTTGAAGTCGAAAGGGCACCTTCTGGGGATATTTTCATGGGCTGAGGGAGCAGACAAGTTTTTTAAACTGGTCAGAGGCAAGGGGGGTTACAGTCTCCATGGCAGAGCCATGGTGTGGCCTCTTTTGGTCTTCTTTGTTCCCACAATGCATCTGGGGCTGTGCCATGGCTTTCGGAATGAGGGATTGTGGGAGAATACGGCGGCCAGGCTGGCTGCCATGTTGCTTCAGTGCCTGCCGTGAAGGGCAAGGTAGCGCTTTCCCATTGTAAAATCCAACCGGGCAGGCAAGTGTATCTCGGTTCAGCGCCAGCCGCGTCATAATCTGCGCCCGAAGACAGCAGCCAAGCGGAGCACGGGCAGCCGCAGGGGGAACATGGCTCTGTCTGCTTCCTGCCCCTCAGCAACTGTCGCCTGAGGCTGTGGCCTCTCGGGTAGAGCCAGGCCCATTGAAGCAGCTGGGGATATTCCTTCAGAAGAAAAATAAGAGTTTAAAAACACTTCTCCCTCTTCTGGCCAGCTGCCACACCTCTGAAACTCTTAAAAATTTCACCTCCTTTCCAGAGATAATAGAAATTTCACCTCCTACATTTCTCATGTAAAATGGTTAGAATTCCAAGTAGGGATTAATTAATTGTTGTTGTTGTTGTAGCACCCTCCTTGGCCAGAAGGTGGCACCCTAGTCCACCTCTTGGCTCCAGATCCCACTGGCTCACTTGCATTACCTTGTCTTTGTCTTCTATGGAAAAAGTTGCTACCCCCCCCACCCCCTCTCAAGATTACTAGATTCTACCCAGCTAAATTATACTTCTGAAATTAATGAACCTAAGTTAGTCATGTCTGTTAAGATAACCCTACTCTGAGCAGGACTAGAATTGGCTAGAACTCTAAAAAAAAATAGCATAGCAAATATAACAAAAAAAATTGTCAGCTTGCATTATTAATAAAAGAAATCCAGCCAGCCTGACGTGAATTCTTATATTAATATAAACTGTTCTGTAGGTTGTATCAAACTAAGCTCTACACAAAGTAGACCCACTGGAATTAGTGGACCTAAGTTAGTTGTGTTCATTAACTTCAGTGAGTCTGTTCATAGTGGAATTAACACTGGGTACAACCCTATATCTCCAAACAGAGGTGGATGATTATAGTTGTTGCATTTTTATCTTTTCCTTTTATCCATGGAGCTTTGGCCAGCATTCATAATTCTGTACCCTCTGTACCTTGCTATGAAATTGCAACAAACCTTAAATTTAAGCCAAGGGTTGCTGGCCTCCAGATGTTGTTGAACTGCAGCTCCCATCATCCTTATCTAAATTAGCCTGTTTCTGGGGATGATGGGAAATGTAGTCCTAAAACCACTGGAGGGCCACAGGGTTCCCCCAGTGCTGGTTTTAAGGTAAGAGGGAACAATTTAACCCGAATTTACTCTGAGGAGAGCGGATTTGAACTCTGGTCTCCCCAGCCCAAGTTCCAACTTGCTATCCATTGGCAGAAAGTATATTGGGCCTCTGGGTAAATGCCCAGCTGATAGGCAGAAGCGGTGAAGAAGAAGAAGAGGAGTTTGGATTTGATATCCCACTTTATCACTACCCGAAGGAGTCTCAAAGCGGCTAATATTCTCCTTTCCCTTCCTCCCCCACAACAAACACTTTGTGAGGTGAGTGGGGCTGAGAGACTTCAAAGAGGTATGACTAGCCCAAGGTCACCCAGCAGCTGCATGTGGAGGAGCGGAGACGCGAACCCGGTTCACCAGATTACGAGTCCACCGCTCTTAACCACTACACCACACTGGCTCTCGGTGATGCTTCCTTTGCAAATATTCTTAAAGGTTACTGTCCCAACCCAGTTAATAACCTGCTGGAAGCAATGAGCTGCCTACACATCATACATTTAAAGCTCCCCGCTAAAAAAGTAAAATAAAGCTTCTTGGGAACTGTAGTCACAGAGCTAAAATCACCACCACACTAAACAAAGCACAGTTCCTAGGATTCTTTGAGGGAAGCCATCCACTTTGAACATGTGGTAGGTAGGTACCTAGTCCGGAATGGTGGGACGTTGGTGGCAACTGGCATGCTGAATTCTGCGTGTCCTGTTATTTTTACTGTCAAACGCTGTAACCTTTGCAGATCAGGACGGCGATAAGAAGCTGACCCTTTCCGAGTTCATCTCCTTGCCTGTCGGCACCGTGGAGAACCAGCAGGCTCAGGACATCGATGACGACTGGGTGAAAGACAGGAAGAAGGAGTTCGAGGAAGTCATTGATGCCGACCACGACGGCATCGTCACTATGGAAGAGCTGGAGGTGAGTGTGTCCTGGGAATTGGCTGTGGCTGCATAAGCTCAAATTGCTAACTTTTTCACGTATCTTGGTTGAAATCCCATGTGAGAGGCACACACACTGTTACATGTCCCCCGCTTCCCCCGTTGCCCTGATCCTTTTTTTTAAAAAAAAAGAAATACAGATTTTTACTTAAAAAATAATTAAAAAGATATTGTGCAATATATATTTCCAGGAACACTAAACAAAATATTCAATAATATATACACAACGTTACGCACTTCTGAGTTTTTATACCGTGAACTGCCTTGTGATCCTTAGGAGAAGGGTAGTACAGTGGTACCTCGGGTTAAGTCCTTAATTCGTTCCGGAGATCCGTTCTTAACCTGAAACTGTTCTTAACCTGAAGCACCACTTTAGCTAACTGTATATATAAATATATTTCATTAAATTTCCACAAATTTCAATACATAATAATTTTTTTTCGTCCTTCCATTCCATTTCCCGTAGTGTGTTTTTTTTAAATTCTATCTCATTGCTGTACCCTGTGACTTCCCCCTTTTATATCATAACCATAATACAATCATCTCTCATTATTTCTGTTGCTGGTAGTTCAAATCCGGCTCGCGAATTCATCACGTTACGATATTTCTCTAAATGGTCCAAAAAAAGAGGCCTCCATTCTTCCATTTAAAAAGAGGCTACCATTCTTCCATAAATGAAGGGCGGTATATAAATTATAATACAGGAAACTGAACTGTATTGTTATCTCAAATTAGCATCCAACATTTATTTATTTTTTAAAGGCGAAGTCAAGATTAGAATTATAAAGCTGCATCTAACAGTTACCAGGTTCACAGTGTCAAGTGATGTTCTGACCTTTAATCAAGCTTATTGATTTCTGAATTCTGAAAAAGCTGCTTCCCACCCCCCCTTGAAACAAGCAGGCGCACCCCCCCTGCTGGTCACGCACCCTGCTCCACAAAGAATTCAGATGCCAAAGGGAGATAAAGCGCTCTACCTATAACTTCCTAATGTCTCGCATTTGAGCTGTATCGCAGCAGGTGATCAGCGCCGGCGTGGGCCCCCTTCGCTTCCTGAGACGTTGCTTAGGAACGAGGTTTGCTTGGTGCTCTTTCTGACGTCACTTTAACCCTTTCTCAGTTCCACCTTGGAAAAAGTGAAATTAGCGCACTGTCTGTCACGGAGGCAGTTAGACCTTTTTCGGCTATGTTCTGAAACAAAGTTTTGGGTATCTGAACCCTGGGCGAATCTGCACATTTGTGTCCTTCCATAACAAAGCTCTTTGTGTTTCGGAGAAGGGAGACTCACAGCAGGAAGTTTGGGGACTTTTCTGAAATAAATACTTTCTGATAATGTGACCCCGAATCTGATAAAGTGTTTTCCTGCAGACGAGGCCACTGAGGCTGTGGCTTAGGGTTTCTTGTATATCTCGCCGTACATTTCATTTTGGGGGTTTAGTATTCTGAAGAAAAGAAAATCTTCCGTACGCACAGATTTTTTTACTTTTAATCTAGTTTCTCTCCTCTTCTCAAGCTCCGCACCAAAGACAGCCAAGTTCTGCAAGTACACCACATCAGAAGCAGAATTAACTCAGTCCAGATTTTCAGATTAGTGGTACCTCGGGTTAAGTACTTACAGTGGTGCCTCGCAAGACGAAATTAATTCGTTCCGTGAATTTTTTCGTCTAGCGAATTTTTCGTCTTGCGAAGCACGAAATCCCATAGGAATGCATTGAAAATCAATTAATGCGTTCCTATGGTCAAAAAAAGTCCAAACAAAGCCAAATTTGGTACAACAAGAGTTTATTAAGTGCTCTTTAAAGTCACACATACTGTAAAGAGCATTTCAAAATTCAAACCCAGAAATTTTTTAAAAAACAGCAGAGTGGCCCAATGGTCACAGAAAATCATAAAAATGCAGAAAAAAACACACAAGCTTCCAGATTCTTGCAAACCCCTCCCCAACTGTTCCCCCAGCCACCCAGCACACAGAAATTCAAATCCAGAAATTTTTTAAAAAACAGCAGAGTGGCCCAATGGTCACAGAAAATCATAAAAATGCAGAAAAAAACACACAAGCTTCCAGATTCTTGCAAACCCCTCCCCAACTGTTCCCCCAGCCACCCAGCACACAGAAATTCAAATCCAGAATTTTTTTAAAAAAACAGCAGAGTGGCCCAATGGTCACAGAAAATCATAAAAATGCAGAAAAAAACACAAGCTTCCAGATTCTTGCAAACCCCTCCCCAACACCAAGTCTTTGAATTCCAAACACCCCAACCCAAAATCCAAAACCCCCCAAAAAAGTTTTAAAAGCTTAACTTACCAAATGGCTGCAAAAGAAGTTTTGGAAAAGCTTCAAAAATCACCAAAGTCTTTAAAAACCTCAAAAAAGGCTACTATGTACACTGCATTCTATGAGTTGCTCCTCGAAGTCAAATCACAACTGTATTAATGGTGTTACGAGAAAGGAAACAAACTTGCAAGACGTTTTCGTCTTGCGAAGCAAGCCCATAGGGAAATTCGTCTTGCGAAGCAGCTCAAAAAACGGAAAACCCTTTCGTCTAGCGAGTTTTCCGTCTTGCGAGGCATTCGTCTTGCGGGGCACCACTGTAATTTGTTCCGGAGGTCCGTTCTTAACCTGAAACTGTTCTTAACCTGAAGCACCACTTTAGCTAATGGGGCCTCCCGCTGCCGCCGCGCCGCTGGCACATGATTTCTGTTCTCATTCTGAAGCAAAGTTCTTAACCTGAGGTACTATTTCTGTGTTAGCAGAGTCTGTAACCTGAAGCATATGTAACCCGAGGTACCACTGTATCAGGTTGTGTCCAGTGTCGGTCCTACTCAGAGTAAAACCATGAGTTCTAGAAACACCCTTCAGATCGAGATGTGGTTACTACTGACCTGTCCTGGTACAGCGAAAATCAAGGCTTGATTTTCTTAAATCATGGGGGAAACAGCCTTATACAAAGTCAAAGCACTAGACCAGCCAGAACAAACCTCTGTTTTGGCGGTGACAGCAGCTCTTTCAGAGAGGCCTTTCCTATCACTCAACAGCTGATCCTTCTTACCGGACATGCCAGGGTATTTCAACCTGGGTCATTCTGAGGTCCAGCGCTGAGGGTCTCCTGGCGGTTCCCTCACTGTGAGAAGCCAAGTTACAGAGAACCAGGCAGAGAGCCTTCTCGGTAGTGGCACCCGCCCTGTGGAACGCCGTCCCACCAGATGTCAAAGAGAAGAACAACTACCAGACTTTTAGAAGACATCTGAAGGCAGCCCTGTTTAGGGAAGCTTTTAATGTTTGATGCATTACTGTATTTTAATATTTTGTTGAAAGCCATCCAGAGTGGCTGGGGAAATCCAGCCAGATATTATTATTATTATTATTATTGTTGTTGTTGTTGTTGTTGTTGTTGTTATGTGTGCTAGTCAGGTCCTCTGCCAGTTACAATAACTTCCACTAATCCCCTTTGTCCAGAAAACACTGAGTAGCTATGCAAAGGCACCCAGCTTCCTCCCATTATGCCTCTGACCAGTTTTTGCCGATGCTGCTGCAAAGTGACCCTCCCCTTCTGGCTTGGTTTTGACGCAGCCATTTTACCAGTCCATCATCGGAGGCAGCAGCACTTCTGAACCTCAGTTTCTGGAAACTACAGAGGGGGAGGAGAGTGGTTTTGTACTTGGGGCCTGCTTGATGGCTTCCCACAGGGTGGCTGCTGTGAGAACAGGATCCTGGACTAGACGGGCTGTTGGCCGGATCCAGCAGCCTGCTCTTATGCCCTTTGCTTTCTCTCTCCCTTCCCCAGGAATACATGGACCCCATGAACGAATACAACGCCTTGAACGAAGCGAAGCAGATGATTGCCGTGGCCGACGAGAACCAGAACCACCACTTGGAGCAAGAGGAGATCTTGAAATACAGCGAGTATTTCACTGGCAGCAAGCTCATGGACTACGCACGAAATGTCCACGAGGAATTCTGAGGAATTGACCCGAGAGGGGCTCTTTCACACACACTCTCTTTCTCTCTCTGTCTCGATGCACCTTCTTGCTTTCCCCCAAAAAACAAAGGTTACCTTTTGCTGCTATATCTGTGTTCTGTGTGTATACAGTGCGGTGTTCTAGACTTACTTTTTTGTTTTTGAACGAAAGCCGTCCACAAATGAAAAAGAGCTACAGCTCGCTTGCCTTCGAGAGGAAAGTGCTCTCTGATTTCTACAGGGAAGGATCCGCACCAGTTCTTGCCTGTGCTGTCGATCGGCAACTTCTTTTTATTTCCCTCCTTCAGGACACTCGGTTGTACCCTGCAAATGCCACGCCCAGTTGTTCTGCTCTACTGTTTGGACTTTGAGAAGGCACCTTTAGGATTTGAGGACCATTATCTTTGCCTGGTTGAGGAACTCACGGGCTGCTTTGTTTGGTTTCGCATTGGTTTGAAGTTTCTGTTTTGGCAATTGCAGCGGTTTCCCACACCCAGTACTTCCTTTCAAACCAGCGTTGGGTTCACTTTGCAAGCAGCCGGATGGTGGGCCAGTTCTGGGTTAGAAAGCAGCCTTTCCCCCAGCAAAATTAGCAAAGTCAGCCTTGCAGTGGATTGTGTCCTTCCGCTTGCCCAGGCAGGAGCCTACATGACAAGCTGGTCCAGCACTTTCTCATCTCCTTCCTTTACTCTCCATTTTCCTCCTGGCTCAACACACACCAAAACTCAAGCATCCTAAGCCACAATGCAGCAGGCTTGGCCCCAGTTTCAAGGAACGACGATATCTTGCATAGATTTAGTGCCTCGAGCCAGGACTCTCCAGTGGCTGCTTCTGCTGGAGTTAATATCACACAAGTCTCACGAACACAAGTCCCACTCGCATGCCAGCTGAGGCGTTCTTTCCTAGGCAGCAAATGTCTCAACAGAGGCATCTCTTCAGGGACCTAGGCACACAGGTGTAACTACAGTCTTCAGGGCTGAGCTGCTCACATGCCAGCATCTCACACTGCGCTGCCTGTGGAAGAGGCAACACTCAGCCTTTATTGTCTGGAGTTTGGCGGCAGCTCCCCCCCCCCCCCCAGCAGATAGACCTCAAGAATGTTCTCTTGCTCACGGACAAAAGCACCATGAAAGTGCATTTTAACCATCTGGGCCGATCACAGCCCAAGTCACTGTGCAGGGAGGCAGAGGACCCCTTCCAATGGGCAGAAGTCCCATCTCGAGTTGCATAGCACGACAGATCCAGGGGGAGGACAATCCGGTAGCAAGTTCCCCAAGCGGGCAGGGACCAGGTAATGCCAGGAACATGGGCTGCTTTTCTAGAATGGGGTCTAGGGGTATGTTTGAACAGCATCTGCTTCTCGGTTAAATAGAGGTGGGTGCACCTGTCTCTTAATAAAAATGATTTGTTTGAGAAAAGAAAATGTGCAAGCGCAGGTTGTCAAGGAGAGAGCTGTGAGTGCTCTTTTATATTTCAGCAGTGCCTGGGAGTTAATACACTGCAAGCAACAAACGTGCCCCTCATCTTTGTTCGAATATGGAATAAGGTGGATCAGCCTCTCTGGCATTATCCCAAAATGGGCAGTGGGATATGGTTAAGCTCTAAACCGCAGCATTCATTAGGTACATCCTACCTTGTCGTGGGACCTAAAAGGGGTATCACATAATTGTAGAGTTGGAAGGGATCCTCAGGATTATCTAGTCCAACCCCCTGCAATGCAGGAAGATGCAGCTGCCCATACAAGGATCGAACCTGCAACCTTAGTGTTGTCAGCGCTGCGCTCTAACCAACTGAGCGATCCAGGGTAGCTTCAGAGGCACCAGTTTGTTCCGTACTCCTGTGCATGCCCTGTTAACCTGCGCTTGGAGGGTGCACTTGTTTATATAGGCTATGCAAACCCAAGTTGCCTGGACCGTGGTGTCAAATCGGTGCCCGCTACAGAGAGTTTGCTTTATGCCGAATATAGGTGCATGCTTGGGAGCCGTTCAGAATGCAGTGGTGCAGGAAAAGTGGGTGGAATCCAGCTAGGCTGAGGAAGAGGTCTCATGAAGATCTCTTGCTAGCAAAGTGGAGCAGCCCAGTGAACCCAGAACTGCGAGAAGTGAGAGTTGTAACCAAGAGACTTCCTGGTGTGTGTTGGATCTGACACAAGGGTAAGCTTAAGGAGAGGGCTGGAGGAAAGGCATCAAATCATAAAAAGTCACAGGTAGTGAATTGGAGGGAGATTACAAGTGAGTCTCTGGCCGGTCAAAGCTTAGTCGGATGATGGAGTTGTTCCTCAGGAATACATAAATTCAAATAACCCAGTTACTGGTGGAAGACTTTCTACAGGAAGACTGAACGATTCCCTTCTTCAGGTTCAGAAGTTGTTTCCCTGACGAGGGTTATGTTCATAAACATTTGAATTTTAATTTAAATGGGTTTATTCTGCTCCTGTCCTTTATACAGAAACACCAACACAACCCTGTTCTTTTAAGAATTGCAGCTTAAGGTGTCTGATGTTACCCTCCTTAATAGAATGTAAATACATGTAACTGTGTGTGTGTGTTTTATTATTCTTTCAAACACCCCCTGCTTTATTTAAACAAGGAACCTGTGGTCCTCTAGATAAGGTTGCTGGACCCCTATCAGCCCCAGCCAGCATCACCAATGGTCAGGGATGTTGGGAGTTGTAGTCCAGCAATGTTTGACGTGACGTGGCAAATAAGGACAAAAGGATTGGGAGGGAGAAGGAAAAAATGCAAGCCCAGGCACCAGTTCTTAAAAAGTCACAGCTCTTATTAGAACCAGCTGGGATTGAAATGCTTCATGGAGCCTAATATGTTCCACCAGTTTTTAATTCTCAATTTTAAATTACTGTAACGTAACCCATTCTGGAACCTGCTGCGGAAGGGCACATCATAAAAATTTTAATAATTTGGAGGGGTACAGGCTTTCCATCTTGGGACTAAAGGCTCCTGGGAAGGGGGAAGAGCCATTCAGAAAGGAGTCTCCCTGCTGTGTCTCTGCATGAGTAGCTGTTCTGGCTTCTGTTAAGACTAATTAAAACAGGGGCTGCTGTTTACACGTCCAAATCGCATCAGCCATGGCCAGCATGACTAATGGTTGGTGTTGACATGAATTGGGAGTCCAGCAACCTCTGGAGGGCCGCAGATTTTCATTCCCAATTTTAACAGCTTGTATAAATGCTTTAGGGGGTGCTTCTTTGGGCATATGGGGAAGAAAAGCACACTTGAGTGATGAGTGCATGCAGAGTCTCTGCACTCGCTACTGTTCAGGTGGGAAGAGATGGAAGGGGCCGTTTTCTGCCTGAGACCTCAGTGAGCTGCTGCCAGTCAGAGCGGTAGATTATCCTGGGCAAGAGGGTCTGATCTAGCAGGCAGCATCTTGTGTTATTGCTATGACTCATTGCTTTGCAATTGTCTCCTCGCCGTCTGCATACAGCAGCCTTGCTCTGTATGGTACTGGTTTTAAACCAGTTGCCCAAGTGTCTCAGGGCTCGTGGGTTCACCTGCAAACTGGAGAAACTTGTGAACGTCTTTTTCACACGCACCACAACCAAGTACACATTGCAACCTGTCGGCTACCATAGGATACTTCTTTCAAGCTTATCTCCAGCAGAGGGCAAGGTGACCTAGCAAGCACTACGTTGGTGAACCCTGGTGAGCTTTCAAAAAATGAAAATGCAGAGGAAAGGGGTCAGGGAGGTAAGGTTGAGTCTTAAATGCCCAGAGGGAGCATTCAAAAAGATGGCGCTGTCCCCTCTCGGGAACACACACTGGGCAGTCCTTCCTTTGGGTAGCGCTCCTTATCGACGACCCATGAATGGTTGTAGCTCAGTGGGACAGCATCTTCAGAGGGTCCCAGGCTCAGTCCCCAGCACTACCAGGTAGGGTTTGGAGGGACCTGCCTGAAATCCCAGAGAGCTGCTGCCAGTCTGTGTCGACAGTACTGAGCTAGATAGACCAATGGTCTGAATTGAGGTAAGGAGCCTCTTGTTTTCCTATTTAAAGGAGCCCTTCATTCAAAACCATGAAGACCAGGTGGCTTCTTTTAGTTGCAGGGGAAGAGCTGTGGCACGCTGGCAGAGCACCTGCTTTGAGTGCAGAAGGTCCCAGGTTCAATCCCTGGTAGGCCTGAAATCCTGGAGACCTGTTGAAACTGAAGCATATGGATTGGAAGGGAAGGGCAATGAGGCCAAGGTTCCCCATGCTGGCCTTTGAGCATCTGGGCTGCCTTCAACATTTGTTGTACTCAGAGTAGACCCATTGAGATGAATGGGCATGACTAGCTTGGGCCCATTAATCCCAGTGGGTCTGCTCTGAGTAACAGTGACAGCTGGTCCATGAGGGCAAATGGGGCACTGCCACACCAACCTATTTGCAGACAGCACCCACCTTGTGGCATTTGTACAACTCAGCAGGGAGAAGGAGGAGGAGGATGAAACTAGAATGAGTTTCCTCTGCCTGCCGCAGAATCATTGGGACTTTACCTTTCTAGAAGTGCTGGTATCAGCATAATTTCTCTTCCTGTCCCTTTTCTCCGACGAGGCCTGCAAGCTTTGCTCTCTGCAGAATGAGGCTTCCAAGAAAAGCAGGGACTTCTATCCAAGTTCGGTCAAGGGCGCCAGAAGATTTACTAAAAGTCCACCTAGCTTAGTGCCCTGCTTCCAAGGGGGCCCGGCCCAGTGGTCCTACAAAGACCACACTCAGCGCCTGTAGGACAGATAACCCCTTTCTGCTGGTACTGCAAAGCAGTTGACATTCAGAGGCATGCAATAGACGAATCTGTTATAAAATCATAGGATCACAAGGTCTTCTAGTCCGCTTTCTGCAATGCAGGAATCGCAGTGAAATAACCCCTGACAGATGGACAATGTGGGCCTTATTTAGAGACCTCCAATGAAGGAGTGTTCGCCATCTTCCCAGGTAGTTACTCTTAATGTTTAGTTGGAATCCCATTTCTTATAATTTGAATCCATTGGTTTGAGCAGCAGAAAACAACCTTGCTTCATATTCAGATAGTTGAAGATGGCGGTCATATCTCTCCTTTTCCAGGCTAAGCATGCCCAGCTCCCTCGACTGTTCCTCATAAGACTTGGTTCACAGACCCTTGATCATCTTGGTTGCCCTCCTCTGCACACTTTCTAGCTTGTCAATATCCTTCTTAAATTGTGGCGCCCAGAACTGAACACAATACTCCAAGTGGGAGTCTGACCAAGGCAGAACATAGCGATACTATTATTTCTTTTTGTCTGGACACCATACATCTGTTGATGCAGCCGAGAACTGGGCTAGCTTCCCCGCTGCCCCCCGCTGCATTACATTGGTGACTCATGCTAAGTTTGTGGTCTACTAAGACCACTAGATGGGACGCGGGTGGCGCTGTGGGTTAAACCACAGAGCCTAGGGCTTGCCAATCAGAAGGTCGGCGGTTCGAATCCCTGCGACGGGGTGAGCTCCCGTTGCTTGGTCCCTGCTCCTGCCAACCTAGCAGTTCGAAAGCATGTCAAAGTGCAAGTAGATAAATAGGTACCACTCCGGCGGGAAGGTAAACGGCGTTTCCGTGCGCTGCTCTGGTTCACCATAAGCGGCTTAGTCATGCTGGCCACATGACCCGGAAGCTGTACGCCGGCTCCCTCGGCCAGTAAAGCAAGCTGAGCGCCGCAACCCCAGAGTCGGCCACGACTGGACCTAATGGTCAGAGGTCCCTTTACCTTAAGACCACTAGATCCTTTTTGCATGTCCTTGGCTCTGGCTCCCCCTACTGTTGGGCTCCCGACCTGTCGCAACGCACACCAGGCACCGCTGGTTGAAAACAAACTACAGGAATTTAAGCTGGTGAGAGAGAAGAAATGCTGATCACTACAATTTACTCAAATAAACGGAATGAGTGTGAGCTGACTCAGAAAGAGGAAATGGATTTTGGTCTCCATTTAGAAAGAAAAACCCAGCAACAAAGGTCTTTTGCTGGGAACTTCCCTCTGGTTCAAGGCTGAAATTTGCCAGTCAGCCTCCGGAGTCTGCATGCTTTTCTCTTCCTGCTCTGCTTCGATGAAGACAGCAACTGGCACAGCCACGCTGAAGCTGGCCATGAACTACAGCCTGGGACTCGCTCTGCTCTTGATCTTCATTTTGCCCATGCAAACCGTGGGGGGCTTAAAGTGTGCCCAGAATGAATACCCGCTTTGGAACTCAAAGTGCTGCAGGAAATGTCCAGCAGGTAACTTAAGGCTGAAGGAAGGGTGTCAGGTGGTTGCCAAAGTCAGGTGGACGCTGTTGGACCCCAACTCTCTCGCATCAACCCCCAACCAGTTTGGCCCAACAGATGGGGAAGATGGGTTGTGCGATCCAACATCATCCAGGGATGTCTGGCATTTGGAGGAGCCATACGGACTAGAATGTTAGTTAGCAAAAAGGACTCCGAAACACAACAGGGGCAGGTAATCTGTGGCTCCCCAGATGTTGGGCTGCAATGTTCATTATCCCCCAGCCAGCTTGGTTCAAGGCAACACCTGGTGGACCACAGATTCTCCAGTTGAGGTTAAATGGCAAAGTGTGTGTGTGTGTGTGTGTGTGTGTGTGTGTGTGTGAGAGAGAGAGAGAGAGAGAGAGAGAGAGAGAGGAAGGTTGCTTTCAGACTTGTTTATTGAGCACCCATCCTGATTTGTTTGCGGGGAGATTAGACCAGAGGTTCCTAAACTTTGGTCTTCTGGCCACCCATGCCTCACTCAGGGGATTCGCACCGCATCTGTGGATTTGCGGTTGAAGGAGGACGTGACACACCCGTCGCGTAAAAGATCCCCATTGATTTTTTAAACTGCGTTGTTATTGCTTCTTTCATTTCTCTTCTTGAATTACGGTCTGAAGTCTATTGGAATTCAAGTTGCAATACAGTGGTGCCTCAGGTTACATATGCTTCAGGTTACATACGCTTCAGGTTACAGACTCCGCTAACCCAGAAATAGTGCTTCAGGTTAAGAACTTTGCTTCAGGATGAGAACAGAAATCAGGCTCTGGCGGCGTGGCGGCAGAAGGAGGCCCCATTAGCTAAAGTGGTGCTTCAGGTTAAGAACAGTTTCAGGTTAAGTACAGAGCTCCGGAACGAATTAAGCACTTAACCTGAGGTACCACTGTACAATCAGATTCAACATCTAAGAGATGTATTTGATGCAGCAAAAATATAATGAGAAATGGTACAGCATCTAGCACAGTGCACTGCAATTGGTGCAGAAGGAGAAGGGAAAGAGGGAGTGGTCCAGCAAGACCTGGAGCCATTTTTCCATGGGTGGGAAGTAGCAGTGAGAGCTGGGGAAGCACTGGATTAGACAATGCCAGGTATTTACTGAGCAATTCCTTCCGAGTTGTTTGTGGGGTGGTTAGATGTTACGTCAAGCAGATATTTATCTCATGCCTTTCATGTGTTTCCCCATCAGTTTCTTCATGGCAAAACCTCTGAAGCTTTTATTGGAGTGGGGGGGGGCGGGTTGCAGAAAGGAGGTTTCGTGCATAAGAGCGCCAACTATGCAACCTTGATTTGCCGGCATGTGCTTAAATCCAGAAATAGTGATAATCTGGATTACAGGGAACAGGAGGGAAGACCCTATAATGGAACGGGATTTTGGTACTCATTTATTTATTGCAATGCACTCTTTGTGGGGCTGCAGTGGAAGAAGACTGAGAAACTTTGATTGGTCCCAAATTCAGCAGCCAGATTTCTGGTTAGCTTTCTGTATAGATAACCTTGTTTTAAAACGGCTTTAGTGGCTGCCATTTCATTTCTGGGCCCAATTCAAGGTGCTCACATTGGTGTTTAAAGCCTTCCATGGCCTAGGCCCCGAATAACTGAAATACCATTTCCTTCCCTGCAGACCCTCTGAGTTGGTCTGAGGGGGACCCTCTTGGTAGTTCCTCCATCCTTAGAGGTTCAGTGAGGGTAGCAGCCCAGGAGAGGGCCTTCTCTGTGGTGGCCCCTCAGTTGTGAAACTCCCTCCTCGTGGAGGTGCGCCTGGTGTCTTCACCACACAGCTTCCACTGAATGCTGAAGACACACCTCTTCACCCTGGCTTTTGAGGTGTACAGTATATTTTTCAGGCCCACGTTTTGTGATTCCACGTTGTTCCGGACTGTTTGGGTGACAATACAAGAATCCTAAACATCCAGCTACATTTGAAACGTTTGGGGATTGTTTCACCAGTGTGTGTCCCTGCCCTTCGCCCCTTTTTCTCAGCACCCCTTTTTCTTCTGTTTAGGAAAAGAGTTGGCAAAACGTTGCACGGTGTCTACCGACTCAACCTGTGAGCCATGCGACCACGGCTACTACAATGAGGGCTACACTGAATCGAGGTGCAAGCGTTGCACAACCTGCTCCAAAGGTGAGGTCCTGTTCACACACACACACACACACACACACACACACACACACACACACGTGCCTCAGAATATGTGGGGAAATGAGCATGACTGGGAATGGGAGGAAATGAAATTGACAGATCTGTCGCCCCAGAAGAGAGAGTAAGGCAGACACCAAGCCAGACTGATCTTCAGTTTATGATTATTATGATTATGATTATTAATGTATGAGTTTGGGGTGCTAAGATAGGTGCTAGACCCCTCTAATCCCAGCAAGCATTAGAATTTAATCAAGGTGTCTAATTCTTGGAATAGCCAGGCTAGCCTCCTGGTGAGGCTTGGTGTGAGATGGCAAATCCCTCCCTCAAGGGCAGAGTTTGGAGTTGAAAGGGGCAGTGGCATGACTTAGAAATAAAGCAGCAAACTTGAGAGAGAGTCAGAGCAATGTCTGAGAGCAATGTTTGATTTCTGTTTGAATCCAAGGCTGTGGCTTTGGAAGAAACAAGACCCTTTTGGGGTGTTAATGCTGTGAACCCCTCCACTGCAGGCTCAGCTTGTAAATAAACCATAGATCATAAAGACACCACAGTCTCCGCTGTGCCTCATTCCAAAGGGAAACACGAACACTGGGATATTGCGCTGCTCAGAGACTGGGGTGGAATACAGCATATTATTATTTAGACTGGTGGGTTTTCTTTCAAAGAGTGGTGGATATCTTCAACAAACACACCATTATGATGTTTGAGGCAGCTTTACTTGGACATAATAACAACAGACACTGGGGAGGTAAAGGGGTAAAGGGGACCCCTGACCATTAGGTCAGTCGTGACCGACTCTGGGGTTGCGGCGCTCATCTTGCTTTACTGGCCGAGGGAGCCGGCGTACAGCTTCCGGGTCATGTGGCCAGCATGACTAAGCCACTTTTGGCGAACCAGAGCAGCGCACGGAAACGCTGTTTACCTTCCCGCCGGAGTGGTACCTATTTATCTACTTGCACTTTGACATGCTTTCGAACTGCTAGGTTGGCAGGAGCAGGGACCAAGCAACGGGAGCTCACCCCGTCATGGGGATTCGAACTGCTGACCTTCTGATCGGCAAGTCCTAGGCTCTGTGGTTTAACCCACAGCACCACCCACATCCCTAGACACCGGGGAACCCCTCCCCCCCAAAAGGCCTGTAAATTACACAGGCTTTTATAGAGGCATTCACAGGCCTTAGCTTTACATGTGCATAGAAATTAGGTTAGGTTCTCAGAGGCAAAGCATGCCTGCATTATCAGGGCTGGACGCCTGATTCAGCAGGAAGAAATGGTGCCTACTTTCTGTCAGACCATCTCAAGGCATAGTCCTTCCTGCACAAACATTCTTGACATGTCCTTAAGACACTAAAAATATCCTCTTGCACACTCGTGTGCACCTCTCATCACATGTAGTCTATCTATCCCAGCATATACTATAATTCCCACTACATCTTCCAGGATCGGAATGGAGATTCAGAATCAGCCCTCCAGACTCCTAATGGGACCTTCTCTGCAAGTGCCTTACGCTCTGTCTGCTCTGAGCATAGGCTCTCAGCCAAATCCTGATCCCTGGGACCTCTTTTCTGCTGCCACTGATCTATGGCATCTTTCCCCCCAAATCTGCTTTCCACCAGATCAGGCCAGTGGTTTATCGCCTACAGGAGCGGGGAGCCTCCTTCTTTTCAGCTAGCACATCTCGTTCCATCTTCATTTTTTTCTTTTTTCTTCTACAGACAAGGGACTCCGGGAGAAGGAGTCATGCAAAACAACCTCCAACACAGTCTGCACATGCCTCCCAGGCCATTTTCCAGCCAGTGGAAATTTTGGCGAAAAGAGTGAGTACTGAGTTTTCTGAAGTCCAAGGCCGGTGGTGGCCTGTCTAAATATATTGCTAGTGGAAGCCACTTCTTGACTGTTCCTAGCCAAAGTAGGAAGTGACATGCCCAGCACGAATCCAACCTGCTCCAGTATTGCCTTATTTCTTAGGGATTTATTGCAAATATTAATATCGCACAGTTTGAAGCGACTGGATGCATAAGAACTGACTCCTTTCGGGAGAAATCATTCTCCAGACCCATAAAGATATGATTCAAAGTTTTACTGGCAGAACTTTCTTCGTAACAGAATTAAAATATCAAATGTACATAAAAAATGTCTTGTGCTGTCCAGCACATGCTCAGCATCTTACAAAATATGAAATAATTTCAACTGACCTAGAAGCAGAGGTCTGTCTCTTCCCACAGCATCCATTTCTAGCCTGGAGCTGTTTTCTCTCTCTCAGCCAGAGAGGGTCTTTCACATGTTCTTATTTCACAGAGCCTTGAGACAAAAGACACAAAGGCAACTCCTCACAAAATGGAGATTTGCAACCCAATACCTTCATCGCATGATCTAAGGTTACAACACTCACACGTTAGCTACCAAAGAACATCAATTAGTTAGTTAATAATCAACTCAGCAAGAGCTCAGAGTGCTCTTCTGGGCTTTCATAATGGGGGATAGTCCCCATGTTAAACCTTTTCACCAATACACATTTAGGCATTCTAATTTCAGTGTCAGTTATTAAACTATTATAATTAACAGGGCTATCCACACTTACCTTTCCTCTGTACTTTGCAGGCATGAGCCAAGCACTTGTTTGTTTGTTTGTTTGTGCAGCTTTTCCCACAAAAACCTGCACCTTACAGCTGAATGGGAAGAAACGTTAATCCACGGAAAACCTGAATTGCTTGTTTGTTGTGATTCAGCTTTAAAAAGCAGTTTTTTGCAGTGAAAGCTCTGGAGCTTTAAAGTGTGGCCCTGTGTCTGCAAAGTGCAGGGCAAAATTAAGTGTGGACAAGCCATTAGTTTGCTTTTTAAAAACTGTTTTGTTTCTTATCATTTCAGTCTGTAAACCTTGTCCCAGTGGGCAGTTTCTCAAAAGAGGGGGTGTGAAATGTCAATCTTGGCCAGAGTAAGTATTGTCCAGCAAAAGATCATGTTTAAGGGCAGCTGATGTTGGTAGGGTCAGCAGAACTGGGATAGATAGATGACAGATAGATAGATAGATAGATAGATACTCAGATTTACATTTATTTATTACATTTATGTACATTTTCTTATAAGGAATTCTCCTCTCCCCATTTCACCCTCACAACAACCTGGTGAGGTAGGTTAGGCTGAGAGACAGTGACTGGCCCAAGGTCATAACCATTTTATTTTATAAAACAAAACATCTACTTGTTAATGGCAAAATAGACTTCACATGTATAAAAGCTCATAAACCTCCATAATTAAAACATATATCAACAATAATAATAATTTTGTAGTCATTTTTATAATGACTTCAAAAGTTTTAAGTTGTTTAAAACTGTTCTAATATTGTGTTTTCATACTAATGTCATGTTTTACTTGTTGTAATTGTAACTGCTGTAGTCTTAAACATACACATCCTCAGGTATTAAAAGTAGTAAGGCTTAGCGCCTTAGGTCGGGTACCAAGAGAATCCAATGAAGGCATTAAAATATATGCATTTAAAAACGTAATTGAACAATCCCATTAAAACAAAATATATAAAATTAAACTGGAGACTTGGGGTCATGAGATCAAGGGAACACCTGTGCAAATGCCAATACAGATGGGGCCTGAATTATCCTAAAAATATTGAAATGTTCTTCTTCTTTTCTGCTCGCAACTTTCCTCTGTGGATCCAAGAGTGACGACTGTCACACGTCAGCCTAGTTCAGAACCGGGGCATGGTGTGTCGACTACGGACTCCACATTTACTCGCGCTGTTTCGTCCACTCGTGTGAAAGTGATGGATCCAGGAGTATCCGGAGCGTTAGGACCCGAGAGCCGGAGTAAGGGGGAGAAATGTCAATTCCTCTGCTAATTTCTCTTGTTCCGTTGCTTTCAATTGGGGGGTCACCAACATGGTGCCTGTAAGTGCAATGGTGCCCTTCAGGTCTTTTCCTGGTGCTCACAAAGACTCTGAGCCCCACCCCCTTGAAAATGATGCAGAGCTGAAGGAGGACGTTGGAAATGCGACACGCCTCCCCACTTCCTTTTTCAGCTCTATGTGCTTTTCAAGGCTTCAGGTTAACCCTGCTGGCTTCACCAATCACCCAACTCACTTTTCCAAAGGACGTGTGTGTGCTCACTTTCTCTCTTTCTGTCTCTTGGGCGAAGGGAGAATTGACCAGAGGAGCTGCTCAAAAGTCCAAATGTACCCCCGAACCAAAAAATGTTGCCACCCCCGTTTCTAGTTTTCCACGGGCTCACTCTGGCCTGTACTTCATTCTTTCTCAATCCCGTCTTAAAGCAGATAATCTACACATATTCTGCAAAATATACATTTTTTAAATCTTACCCCAAAATGACTTAATAGATGCAGCAATTCCAAAACATGTAGGGCCCAGACTATGGGTTATAGCCAATGCTACCCTACTCAGAGTAGACCCATTGAAATTAATGAATCTTAGTTAGCCATGAGCGGCATTGAGCACCTGCCCTGATGTTATCAGACCCACTGAAGTTATTGGATCTAACTTAGGGTCATTCATATTAATGTGTCTCAGTATCCGTGATTAAACGGCCCGTGGGTGGCACTGTTGGTTAAACCACAGAGCCTAGGGCTTGCCGATGAGAAGATCAGCAGTTCAAATCCCCGCCATGGGGTGAGCTCCCGTTGCTCGGTCCCTGCTCCTGCCAACCTAGCAGTTTGAAAGCACGTCAAAGTGCAAGTAGATAAATAGGTCCCGCTCTGGCGGGAAGGTAAACAGCGTTTCCTTGCACTGCTCTGGTTTGCCAGAAGCAGCTTAGTCATGCTGGCCACATAACCTGGAAGCTGTATGCCGGCTCCCTCGGCCAATAAAGCGAGATGAGCGCCGCAACCCCACGACTGGACCTAATGGTCAGGGGTCCCTTTATCCACGATTACCAGCAATCCTATCCATGATTACCAGCAAGTAATCCCCATTGAACTAAATGGGGCTTGCTGCTGAGTCGATAAGCATAAGGTTGTACTTAGGGGCACTTTGCGCCCATTGAAACCATAGAATGGTAAGAGCTGGAAGGGGCACAAAGGGATATCTAGGCCAACCCCCCGCAACAGGACTTAAGTCATGATTCCAAACTGAATTTGTAATCTATTTCCCCCTTTCCAATCATCCACACCTTTTTTCTTTTTTATTGGAAAATTCTGAACATCTCTGAGCCACTCTGAGGTGGCATTTGGAGAGTTAACTCCTAGCTTAATAGCTGATGCAATGAGCCCTTAAAATCTCCCCCCAGACAGCTTTAATGTTTGACCTCTCTCCTCTGTCTTTTAGTGTTGGTACTGATCATCTCCATCCCTGCAGTGCTGCTTCTTGCAGTGGGAGGGGTGGCCTATTTTCTAATTAGGGGGAAATCCAAGAGGAAAAAAGTGGAGGTCAAGGCAAGGACTGAGGCGCTGTCAAGAATGCTTCAGGAAGGTATGTCCAGAGTGAGAATGAATGACACAAAAATAAAACAGCAGTATTTATTTATTTGTTTATGTATTGCATTTGTAATAAAAAAAAATCTGCCCTTATTCCCTTATGTGGAACACAAGAGCCCTTATAGAGTCCTTTGTAGGTTCTCCATCGGTCGGAGAAAATAACAGAGGCCAACCAGAGAATATTGAGAAGCAAAGCAGCTAGTACGCCTGATCTTTATTGAAACTGTTGCAACAGAATGCTCCCCTCACACACAGGAAAGGAGGATGACCCCGAAATAAGATGTGCCTGCCCTTATATAGACATTTTAAATTGCCTTCCCTGGCGCTCAAGACCACCCCCCAGATACATCATACCTACATCACAGAAAGGGCGGTCTACAACAGAAATCTGAGTGCGTTGTTTATCTCCTGTCTGGCAGGTTACCTGTTAATGGTCACTTGATTGGATACCCTGGGGAGCCTGGCCAGTCTTTTGTAATGACAAATACTTAGTTCCTGAGCCAGGTCACAGGCTCACCCTATTCATACACAGACATACCCTTAAGACAGGATTTGTGAACGAAAAGACAATGGGGAGGCTTTTCCATTTTCCTTTGACCTTGCAGAGGTCAATTTGGGAGGGACAAAATGGTTTCAGGACTTTTTCTGTGGGGTTTCAGACATGTGGTTTATATACGCAGTTATGAACATTTATTATATATATAGCCTTAAATTTTTTTATTTCACATTTATATCCCACCTTTGTCTCCAAGGAGCTCAAGGTGGAAATGCATAGTTCTCTCTTCTGCTTCCGTTTAACCCCCCCCACACACACACACAACAACCCTGTGAAGTAGGGTAGTTCTGAGAGGCAGTGACTGGCCCAAAGTCACACCCAATGAGCTTTGTGGCTGAGTGGGGGATTTGACCCCTGGTCCTAGCCTGACTCTCTTAACTATTAAACCACACTCGCTATGCACTTTCTGAAACAATATGCAAACCGAAACACAGCTAGCCTTCAAAACTCCTACGGAGAGCTGCAATTCCAGGAGTAGTTTAACCATCAACCCCTATCCTCCCAGGGAACTCTGGGAATTTCAGCTCTTTGAGGCATAGCTGTCAACTTACAGATTTGAAAATAAGGGACCAGCAGCCTTGAAAATAAGGGACCAGCAGCCAAAATAAGGGACCTGCAGCCTCACCTGTTCCAGGCACTCCAGTCTTCCTGTCCTCCTGCAGTCTGGTCAAACTCATGCTGGTAGCTTCGAGAACACTGTCCAACCAACTTTGTAACCAGAGGTTCAACTGAATAGAATCTGAATCACATGCACCACAAGGCCTATGCAGCCTGCAAAGTTTGCAGCAGCACATGCAACAAAATGGCGTCCAGCATTCAAAAAACCCCTCAGCTTGCATTAACTAGCCACACACAAGGCATGCAAGCTCCACCCCCCAGTCATTCTTAGACTTCTTACTGGGTGAGCAACACAGCCAAGCAACACAGTTGGAGCCTCCCTCCTCCCTGGCCGGCAGGGAGGGAGGGAGAGGAGCTGCTTCCTTTGAAATTTAAGGGACATCATTTAAGGGACATTTAAGGGACATCCATCAATAAGGGACAGCAGCGGGACATAGCACTGGAATAAGGGACTGTCCCTTCAAATAAGGGACACTTGACAGCTATGCTTTGAGGGGAGTAGCGGGTCTCCTAACAACAACCAGCATCTTTAACCAAATTACAACTCCCATAATTCTTGGGGGGCAGCCATGACAGTTTAAAGTGGTAGCGCGGCGCTTAAAGTGAATGTGGCTTCAGTGAAGCTTCCCAAATCTGGTTTCCTTCAGAAACTGCGGGACTATAACTCCTGTCGCCTGGTTGGAGCTTTTGGAAACCAGAACCCAACAATTTATAGATGACCACCTGTTCTTTGGCTCTGATCTGGATCAGAAAGTCCATGTTCTAAGATGACCTTCTCCAGTTTTAGAAACAGGATATGCTTTCTGCGCACAGGTTTTTCCTCACACCTTATCCATACCCTGATTTAAGCTGGACATCCCAGAATTACAGAAGTCATTATTGGCTTCTGATTGGATCCTGGAATGTCCCGTTTTTGGGGGTTTGGTGCTTTGACACAAGTGAGCTGGCTTGCGCCAGTGCACCAGAACAAAAGGGATTTGGTTTTTGGTCTCACGCTCTGACACTGGTCAACTGGTTCCTGCGAGAACTCAGGACCAAAAAAACCGAAGCATCCCAATTTGGATCACCCAGATGTTGAAGCTTATGCTTACCTGTCTTCTCCACCTTCACCTTTGCAATTCCCTCCTCCTCATCTTTCAGACGGAAGAAGCATTTACCGAATTCCCATCCAGGAGGAGCAAGTCGACAGCAAATCAACCTTTGTGCAAAACTAACCTTCCCCAGGATGAAGAAGAAAAATTCGCAACTTTAACCTCTGAGCCAGAAGTCATGGACTTCAAGATTCCCCTCCCTTTCTCCCTGGATTTGACCCCTGGTCATTCTTCCTCCCCCCCCACCTCCTTAACACCCCTTTTTCGTTTTATTCATACTTTAAAGCCATGTTTCTCAACTAGTTGGGCATATGAAGATCTTGGGTGTGTTTGTTTCAACAACAACAACAAAGTAAATATACGTAAATAAGAAAAATCAAAAGTCACAAAATTTCCATCCATTTGGAAATTCAAAAGAACGAATTAGGGGAGCTAGTTTTGAAAGGAGTGTGGTGGGATCTTTTACTTTAGCTACAAGTGGCTATTAAAAAAATAAAACTGAGAAACACTGCCTTAAAGCAATATTTGAGAATGCCTGATATTGCTGGACTACAACTCCCATTGTCCCTGACCATTGGCCATGCTTGCTGGGGCTGATGGGAGTTAGAGTCCCAGCAACATGATTCCTTACCCCAACCCTATAGATCTGTGTTGGCATCAATGCCTTAAGTTACATTAATGTGATAACAGTGCATTGTTAACGTTCTACCAACTTGCCCATTGGTAGATCTAGTAATCTCCCTATTTTAAAACAAATTCATGTCTGCAGGACAACCCCTTCCACCAGCCCCAAGGGATTCCTTCCACATTGGAAAGGTGAGCTTGGCGGCATTAGAAATAGGGATGTTTAGTTACCTGTATCAGGTTGGACTAAGCATTGATCCCTTTAGTAATAATAGTTCAAAAACCATCAGTAGCTTACACTTGGGGTCGACCCATTGAAACCATTGGGAGCCAGGTTAGTCTAGAACTCAGGAATAGATTCAAGACAGCCAAAAAGAAGTACACAGCGTAATAGACTGTGGAACTCTCTCCCACAAGAGCCAGTGGTGGCTTTAAAAGAGAGGAAATCCAATGAGGAGCAGGCCTTTGATGGCTACCAGCCAAAATGGCTATGTTCTTCCTCCGCTGTGAGAACAGGATCCTGTTCCAGAAGGTTCTTCTTATGTTCTTTGCCATCACTATTAACTTCAATGGGTCTACTCTGAGTAGGACTAGCATTGGCTATGGCTGTGCAGGCACACAGACCCATGTTTTCCTATCTGCTTCCAGTGTGAGCTCAGGGGGGGTTATATCCAACTTTTAAGTTTCTTACTGCCATTTCAGTCGGCATTTGTAAGTTACCTTAACACCACAGGTCCTGAAAACATGTGTCTGTATTTTATTATTTTCTTTTGTACAGCACCTGGTTATTTCAGGTGCTTTATATGTAATAAACACGGCAGTTATTCCACGTTAAACGGATGTGGAGTTTCAGAGTGTGCATTTGAGGAGAAGCGGTCAACTTTTTTTTGACTTAATGTTTGGTTGTGAGGTAAAACACTTCAAAGCAACGATTGCCTAGGAATTTCTCGCAAGGCGTGTTTTGCTTGACGATGGCTTAAACAGATTGCAGCAAATTTACGGTGTGTTCCTTTCGGAAATATTAGGTTTGGTTCCAGATAGGGAATTTGAAAGACCCAGAGATAAGTAAAATATTTTAGGGGTGTTCTCTTAAACCATCCTTGCAACAAAGTGAACTAAAGTTATTAGCCTGTAATTTGTTTTTATTAATTCATTAATTTTTTTTATTTTACCCGCCTGCTGGGACTGTCCAAAGAGGGTGTCAGTGGGGAAAAGGGGGCACTGCCCTACCATGCTCAGCCTGCCCCCACCCACCTGCTTTCTTACCACCTCCCAGCTTCCTCCTCCTTATTCTCAGACTTGCCCCTTGTAGAACTCAGCAGGGGAGGAAGATGGGGACAGAACCAGAATTAGTTGGCTCTGACTGCCATTGGCTCTGGTTCTGCCTGTCGTCATTGTCCCCTGGCTCTGCCTACTATGTTGGGCATACAGGAAGGGAGGTCAGTCTGGTAGCGACAAGGGGCAGGGCCTTTTCTGTGGTGTCCCCATGATTACAGAACTCTCTCTCTCCTGAGATATACAATCGGCCCTCTGGGAACAAATGCAGGAGTGCAATTAATTAGAGCAGGCATAGGCAAACTCAGCCCTCCAGATGTTTTGGGACTACAACTCCCATGATACATAGCTAACAGGACCAGTGTTCAGGGATGATGGGAGTTGTAGTCCCAAAACATCTGGAGGGCCGAGTTTGCCTATGCTTGAATTAGAGGTTCCAGTAGGCTGTCACCTTTTTTTTAAAAAATCTTATACTGGCAGGGCTGGCTGTGATATATTAAGTTGATTTTTTAAAGTGTAGCCCAAATGTCAGAGCTAACAGAGAAGCAGAGAATTAAAGAGTTGGAAGGCACCCCAAGCGTCGCCTAGTCCAACCCCCTGAAATGCATCTTGAATTTTGACAATTCATTGGGAGGTGGAGGTTGTTTTTTTATTTACCTGTGGAATAGATATATTTTCTGTTTTGCTTTTCGGCGGATATTCTACACAGCCAGCTCTTGCACCATGGGAGTGACAAACACCTGAGTGTTGGGCAGCTACCGTAACAAATAAAAACGTATTCTGTTCTGTCTGTGTGGTGATTAAACTAACCTCACTTTAGTTTCTAATCCAGATTAATTCATCCAGAATAAAAGAATGGCCTTGTTTGGGCCAGACTAGTCCAGCTGGGTGGCAGCCAAGGAAGCGGAACATTGGAAGACTCCAGACAAGACAAAAGGAAGAAGGACCTCTTAGTTAAACTATGGAACTCATTGCCACAGGAGGCAGGGATGGCCACCAATTTGAATGGTTTAGACAAATTGGGTTAGACAAATTCACAGAAGACCAGGCTGTTCTTCTGGCCATGATGGCTCTGCTCTGTCACCACAGCCGGAGGCAGCAAACCTTCTGAATACCAGTTGCTGGAAACCATAGCAGGCGAGAGGGTTCCTGAGCTCAGGTCCTACTTGTTTTGAGCTTACCATTTGGGCATCTGGTTAGCCACTGTGAGAACAGGATGCTGGACTAGATGGGCCTTTGACCTGATCCAGCAGGGCTTATGTTCTTAAGGGTGGGATATCATTATTTTTTTCCAGTCCTAGGGGTTGTATAGCAATGAACTCTACTCAGAGTAGACCCACTGAAGTAAACAGACCTGTTTCTGTCCGTAGCTGAACATCATTTCCCCTTTTGGAGATGCAAAGAGGTTGAGGGAACATTTTTTTCATATGTGGTGGACTTGTAAAAGCGTACAGTGGTACCTCGGGTTAAGTACTTAATTCGATCTGGAGGTCTGTTCTTAACCTGAAACTGTGCTTAACCTGAAGCACCACTTTAGCTAATGGGGCCTCCTGCTGCCACTGCGCTGCAGAAGCACGATTTCTTTTCTCAACCTGAAGCAAAGTTCTTAACCTGAAGCACTATTTCTGGGTTAGTGGAGTCTGTAACCTGAAGTGTATGTAACCTGAAGCGTATGTAACCCGAGGTACCACTGTATTGGGAAATGATCCATAATGAATTGGGGGGGGGGGGATGTTTTAAAGTACTCCCCCCACCCCCAAACCTAGAGTCCTTTCTGTTGAGGATAATTCAGACTGAAATTCCCAGGTGTCAAAAAAGGTTATGTATGCCACTACTGCCGCCTGTGTTTTGTTAGCCCTCAAATGGAAAACGAGCGAGGTCCCAACCAAAGAAGAGTGGCAACTCAAGCTGACAGAATATACGCAGCTTGCAGACTTAACATATAGAATAAGAGAATAAGAAGAGAAGATTGGAAAATGTTTATTGAATATATGGGAAATAACTGTGTACAGCTGAAAACGCGGGCAGCATTAAGATAGATTCAACAGCTTAAATAAGTTTTGGTGGATGGAATACTGAATGGTATAAAGGTAAAGGTAAAGGGACCCCTGACCATTAGGTCCAGTCGTGACCAACTCTGGGGTTGCGGCGCTCATCTCGCTTTAATGGATGAGGGAGCCGGCGTACAGCTTCCGGGTCATGTGGCCAGCAGGACTAAGCCGCTTCTGGCGAACCAGAGTAGTGCACAGAAACGCCATTTACCTTCCCGCTGGAGCAGTACCTATTTATCTACTTGCCCTTTGACGTGCTTTTAAACTGCTAGGTTGGCAGGAGCTGGGACCGAGCAACGGGAGCTCACCCCGTCGCAGGGATTCGAACCGCCGACCTTCTGATCAGCAAGTCCTAGGCTCTGTGGTTTAACCCACAGCGCCACCCACATCCCTGGACACTGAATGGTATAGTTTCTGTAAAAAATGCAGGGATTTATGGTATGCAAAATGAACTATGGAAAGAGAAGAATGGAAGTAACTGATATTTTAAGGATGTAAAATTTTTTATTTTATTTTATTTTATTTTATTTTATTTTATTTTATTTATTTGATTTGATTTGATTTGATTTGCATCCTTTCCCCCAAAGTGAACAGACCTCTGGGAAGCTCTTAAGCAGGACAATGGTGGTCGTGTTTGCCACCCTCTCCTTCTGTTGCCAACACAACATCTTGTGGGAGCCAGAGATGCTTCCTCTTGGCAGATAGACGCCTGCCGGCTGGCGGCTTCGCTAGGTGACAGACATCCTTCAGTGTTTCTCCTCCTACCCCATTTTCCATAAGAAACAGCTCGGGCAGAGAGGCTGCCTACGCAAAGAAAAAAATCTGGCAGCTTCCTGGCTCTTGAAATAGCTAACATCCTGCCACCGTTGATCTTATCTGTTGGCGTGATGAAGAGGGACTTTACCTTTCTAGAGCTACTGGTATCAGCACAATTTCTCTTCCTGTTCTCAGATGAGGCCTGCAAGCTTTGCTCTCTGCAGAATGAGGCTTCCGAGACAAGCAGAGGCCTCTGTCTAAGTTCAGTCAAGAGTGTCAGAAGGTTTTACTAAAAGTCCATCTAGCTCAGCACCCGGCTTCCAAGAGAGCACAGCCCGGCGGTCTTGCAAAGCTTACCATCAGCGCCTGAAGGGCAAAGAATTTGTGAAACCCACATTTTAAGCCACTGAAGGCAGTGAAGGCAGGTGCCAGAGCAGCTAGCTCCCCTTTGAGGGAATTCTGCATTATTTTTTATTTATTTTTAAATTTATTTTTTTGTTCGGGATTTTTACATACATTATATTATCTCCTTCCAGTGGGAATTCTGCATTATATACAAGGTTAGTCCTCTTCAGAGCAGACCCATTGAAACAAATGGGCATGGCTAACTTTTTTTGTTAGTCTTAAATGCTTTATTATTCATTTTCCATATATATACAACACGTAGTCATCTTCATTTCAGCCAGTCAAATAAAGATATCACAAAGGATACGTACAATTTCAACTTACGTGCTTTCTACACGAACTGATGACTTCCCATCCTCTCCATATTTTCCTTTATATTAAACATCTTGCTTTAATTTGTCATTCCTACTTTGTAAAAATTCTCTTTTCTACTTTGATATCGTATTCCACCATATGTATTGTTTACAGAAATCATTCGAAGGCAACTACCGTGTTTAGATTACAGCTGCTTTTCAAATAATTTTTGAAATTACCTCATTCTAGAATGAACTCCTGTCTGGGCTTGTCTCTGATTCTTTACAAAAAATAGGCTAATTCTGCATATTCTGTCAATTTGGATAACCATTCAACTCTGGTAGGGAGTTTGTCATTTTTCCAATATGTCGCAATAAGCACCTTTGCAGCCGCGGTTGCATACAAAAAAATTTTCCTTATGACCTTGGGGATGTCCATGCCTGTAATACCCAGAAAAAATGCTTGACTAACTTAAGGCCCATTAGTTTTAAGGGGTCTCCTGTTGAGTTAAACCTTGCAGCCTTCTGTAACTAAATTACACAGCCGGTGAAGAATAAGATCCTTTCATCAGTCACGAAACTACTACAGAGACCCACTTTCTTAGGTGGTCCACAGTACTAATTTATCGGAGCTCCCGTTGCTCGGTCCCTGCTCCTGCCAACCTAGCAGTTCGAAAGCATGTCAAAATGCAAGTAGATAAATAGGTATCACTCCGGTGGGAAGGTAAACGGCTTTTCTGTGTGCTGCTCAGGTTCACCAGAAGCGGCTTAGTCATGCTGGCCACATGCCTCGGAAGCTGTACGCCAACGCCCTCGGCCAGTAAAGTGAGATGAGCATGTAACCCCAGAGTCATCCGTGACTGGACCTAATGGTCAGGGGTACCTTTACCTTTGCCTTTATGGTTGGAAAAGGGGATAAAATGTTCAATTGGCTGTAGTATCTATAGGAAGCAGAGGGGGGAGCTCTTCCCCAATCAAAACCTGTGTAACAGTGAGGTTTGCCAAACAGATGATTCACCATACAGTGGTACCTCGGGTTAAGAACTTAATTTGTTTTGGAGGTCTGTTCTTAACCTGAAACTGTTATTAACCTGAAGCACCACTTTAGCTAATGGGGCCTCCTGCTGCCGCCATGCCGCCGCCACGCCATTTCTGTTCTCATCTTGAAGCAAAGTTCTTAACCCGAGGTACTATTTCTGGGTTAGTGGAGTCTGTAACCTGAAGCATCTGTAACCCAAGGTACCCCTGTACTTTATATATTTAAAATATTCATCATCATCATAATAAAATAGAGCCACTCTAGGCTGCTTCCAACAGAATATTAAAATACAATAATCTATTAAACATTAAAAGCTTCCCTAAACATACTCTGACTTCTCATCCTAAGGTCTTCCAAGCAGCCTGACTGTCAAGAGTCTCATGTTGGCAGCAAGACCCGCTGCTCTCTCCCCTCCCCGGCAAGACCAAATGCAGTGTTGTGTAGTGGTTAGTGTGTCAGACTAGGACCTGGATGACCCGGGTTCAAATCTTCACTCAGCCACAAAACTGTGTGTGACCTTGGCCAGTTACTGTCTGTCTGCCTCACCCTACCTCACAGGGTTGTTGAGGGGATAATAATAATAATAATAATAGTGGGTGCATAATGAGTGGGATCAAGCTGGCGAAGAGATGTGGCTAATAAAATGAGCCTACCCCCCTCAGCCCTTAATTCTTGTGATTCAGGGATAGCAACATTGGTCAACCTTACAGGGTGAGGGTTCAGCAACGTAGAGTATGCAGAGAGGTTTGGACATCAGAAAGCCGTGAATCGCTGTCATGTATGATTGCTGTTAAAAGGAAGGATCAGTCATGGTGGTATTGGTCATTTACTGTTAGGGTTTGTTATTATAGTGGTACCTCAGGTTACATACGCTTCAGGTTACAGACTCCGCTAACCCAGAAATAATACCTCGGGTTAAGAACTTTGCTTCAGGATGGGAACAGAAATCGCACGGCAGTGGTGGCGCGGCAGTGGGAGGCCCCGTTAGCTAAAGTGGTGCTTCAGGTTAAGAACAGTTTCAGGTTAAGTACGGACCTCCGGAACGAATTAAGTACGTAACCAGAGGTACCACTGTACATCAATAGGTTGCATCTTCCTTCATGGAGCTCAAGATGGTGGACAGCGTTCTCCCTCCTCCCCATTATTATCCACATAGCAGCCCTGTAGGTAGGTCAGGCAGAGAGACAATGAGTTGTTTCCAAGTAAATCTTACTCAGAGTAGACCTAACGGATTTGTGGGGCCTGAGTGAGGGCTTGTCCACACTTACACTCGTCCTGTGACTAGAAAGCACAGGGACTTTTTTTTGTTTTGTAAAATCGTTTTTATTTGATTTTTACAGGTAGAAATTTATAACAAAACCAAAGACATATCCATACAAAGAGATTTCTCTGACTTTCGAGACCCCCCCATCCCCCCCCATGGGTCCTACTGTCAGTGTTTTCAACTGGATATTATTTCATAGTCTATATTTGTCCATAGTATTTGTTACATTACAAGTGAGATTAAAACCCTACGAATGTTTTCATCTGCTTACAATGGTCTCCTAAATAAATTATAAAATTTCCCCATTCTTTCTTGAAGTTTTTGTCTTCTTGGTTTCTGAGCTTTCCGGTCAGTTTTGCCATTTTGGCGTAGTCTAACAGCTTGGTTTGCCATTCCTCTCTAGTAGGGACTCCTCCTTCCTTCCATCTCTGGGCTAATAACATCTGTGCTGCTGTTGTTGCATACATGAAGAGTCTTTTCTGTTCCTTTGGGATGTCGGTACATACAATTCCTAACAATATTAGGAATTGTTTTGTTTTGGTTTTTGGTTTTTGCAGTTCTCTATTTTAGTTAGGGGAACTAAATGCAAACGAAACCTTTTCCCGATAAATCTCGGAACATTCAACAGCTGGAAGCTGAGCTGATTCTTGCACTCAGACTTCCCTGTGGCCCTGTCACCTTTTCATTTTAATGAAAAGACCGTACAGATTTCAGAGTTTTGAGCTGTTTCCCACTTGTTCCCTACTTTCTAGACATGGGTCTGAGCAGTTTTTGCCGTGCTGCTTCCCCACTGGAAACCCGACTCTCATACCCTCCAACATTTCTCCGATGAAAATAGGGACGTCCCATTCCATAATGATAATTTTACTATTTACACACCCTGCACATCTTACAGGGTTGCCCCAGCCACTCTGGGCAGCTTCCAACATATATATAAAAACATAATAAAACATTAAACATTAAAAAAAAACCTATACAGGATTGCCTTCAGACGACTCAGGGGTTGGATAACTCCATACGCTCCAAAATTTATCCAATGAAAATAGGGACATCCTAAGGAAAAGTGGGACATTTGGGGATCAAATCAGAAACCAGGATGGCTTCTCTAAATCAGGGATATCCCTAGAAAATAGGGACCTTTGGAGGGTCTGCATTCTTAGCTCTAAATCAGAGAAAACATTGATCCAGAGAAAACGTGACTGATGTTTTCTCCCATTTAGTGGTAAACATTGTGTTTCCCCAGGGGAAAGTAGCAAGGCAAGTAGGGATTGTGACTGACCCCTTAGCCATGATCGCAATACCTTTTCTATCAATCTAGCATAGGTTAGCATAGGCTACAGACCACTGAAACTGACATACATGTTAGTAAGGTCCATTCATTTCAATGGGATCACTCTGAATTGAACAAGAATGGGCTGCCACCCGGTGAAAATAACACAAAAGAGTCGCTTCCAAGTATGTTCTACTCAGTGTAGGCCTACTGAAATGAATGGACCATAGTTAGCCATTCCCATTAACTTCAGTGGGCCTACTCTGAGTAGGGCTAGCATGGGATGCAATGCAAAAATGCACCGCATTAGCGGAAATTGCTTGCGGAAAAGAAAAAGTGTATTAGTCAAAACTCCATGCAGGAATGTGAAAAATATATACATATAAATATACATATACAAACATACATACAGATACATGTGTGTGTGTGTGTGTGTGTGTGTGTGTGTGTTTTGATTCAAAATAATACAAAGGGGGGAAAGTGCATCAGTCAACAGGTTCAAATCAGTTTCAGTATTACAAATATAGTCATAAAATAACATCATATTTTCAATTCAGGTAGCTCAGCCAGAAAGAGTTGCTGCTGCTTTGCTGTTGTTATCAATTCTCTGCCCTTCACCCAGGGTGGGATATAACATTAAAACACAATACTAAAATCAGTTTAAAATGATTCACAATCATAGAAATAAGGTGCATCCTAAAAACGTACAAGTGTTGAAAGCCAGGGTGAAGAGGTGCATCTTCAGCAATATCTAACAGCTGTGTAAGGAAGGTGCCAAACACACCTCCTTGGGGAGAGAGTGTCACAGTTTAGGGGCCACCCCAGAGAAGGCCCTGCCCCAGGCCATTCCCTCAACTCAAACTTCTTAGGGTGGAGGAACTACCAAGAAGATCCCTTCTGTCATTTCAGTACCCTTGAGAGTCTGTAGGGAAGCAGGCGGTCTTTCAGATATTTGGGGCTGAAGTCATTTAGGGCTTTAAACACCCATGTGAGCACCTTCGATTGCGCCCGGAAACGAACTGGCAGCCAAGTAATGTGTACAAAAATGCACAGAAAGTGTGCATAAAGTGCATAAAATGTTAGGGAAAATAGCATCCCCAAATGATTTGTATTGGAGGAGAATTGCTCTGCAAAAATGTGCATATCAGGAAACTGACATACAAACATGTCCGTAGTTGCATCCCACCCCAACCTCTGAGTGATGCGAGATTCCAGGGGTTCCAGGCGTTTACTCAGGCTCCATGTTTCCTTTCGGAAGAGAGGCACAGCAGAGACTGGGGTGTCTTTATGATATATGGTTTATTTACACATATCTACAACCTGAGCCTACGGTGGAGGGGTTCACAGCACTGACACCCCAAGAGGGTCTTGCTTCTCCCATAGCTGCCGGGATAGATTCAAATAGACATTGGCCATTGTGCACTGACCCTCTCGCCAGCTTGCTGACTTTAACAGTCTGCCACATTTCCCCCTAGGTCTTGTCACCTCAAATTCAACTCTAAGACTCTACACTGTGTCTTCTAACTAACTCTGAGTCTGCCATCTGGTACAGAGCTCCCCCTCTCTGTCAACTTTCCTAATGGCTCATTACCTTCCCTTTGTTCTCCAAATGGCTCATCTCCCAGGCGATTAACCCATCAGAAAACTGGCCTGGCTAATATTTTAACATGTGCCTTGATTAAATTCTAACACCTACTTGGACCCAGAGATTTAGGGGAGTCTGGTATCCACAAACTCATAACTTTTTAAAAAAGAAAAAGAAAACCAGAAACTGACGGGAAAATGTGGAGAATAGAATTTACAAACCGGAAAATCTGAAATTGACAGATTCATCCATCTCCAATTGCATCCAATGTTAGTCCAGAGGCACATTTAGAGGAGCACAACCAGTTCAGTCACACTGAGTGCGGAGCCTCAGGGTCGCCATTGGGGGAGCCACAACTTATGCTGGAGAATGGAAGGTGAGAAGCAGGAGCTCTGAATTTTGCCCAGGGCACTGCTGAAATCTGAGACCTCAAGGTCTCCTGCTGGTTCATCCTACCCAGAGTAGACTCTTTGAAAACCATGGACATGACTAATTTCAGTCCACTTATTTCTGTGGGTTGACTCTCAGTGTAGCTTACTTGGTGTGATGGCCTGGGAATCTGATTCAGAGGCTGAACCGGAGGAATCCCAGCCTGCACAGGAGTCCCCGCCTCCAGGGCCGGCTGAGCCAGGGAAGGGCCTTGAAGCTGAAGCGCCTGCACCTGTGCGGGATCCTCAGGAGCAGACACCAGATGAATCCACTCTGGCTCCGGAGGTGATTGAGGACCCACTGCCTACAGGTGCGCCTCTCCCAGCCCTGTCAGGGGAAGGTAAGCCTCCCCCTGGGTCCAGTAACCCTCCAACCTCTCCTGAGCTGCAGAGGCTCAGGGCAGAGAGGCAGAGGGAACTGGGTTCTCTCAGGAGGAGTGCTTGTCTTAAGGCCAGGAGAGGCGGGTCACCTGTGGGCTGGGGCCGCCCCTGGCCTCAGAGAAGATAAAGGCCAGTCAGCCCGGTCCCAGGTTGCAGGAGCAACGTCGTTGGAAACCTGTTTCTGCCAGCACCCAGACCTGTTCTTCCAGAGTTCCCGACCTTGCCCGGCTCCTCGCTTTGGACCCCGCTTCGCCCTTGGTGGACAGTCTCCAGACCCTCGACCCAGGACCGGACTTTGACCACGCCTCACGGTAACCTTCCCCCAGGACCAGCACACTTGGATACTACTCAGTGTCTCTATATTTTGGCAAGATGCAAGAGTTATCTTTTATCACTCTTGTCAGAGATTATCTTCTCAAATGTGCTGAGAGATCGGCCGTCCGTCACTGGGGTTTCACGTTCACGAACGGATGCCATGTACACTGATGACACCGCTTTGCAAAGGAAGCGGCCCTCTCTGCGGTCACCGTCTCGTGCAGAGTCATGACACTTGGTTTCCAGGTACAGACCTAAAGATACGAAGCTGAGAACATTTAAGACGAGAAGATTTGGTTAAATGCAACCTTAGCAAATGTCTCACTTCTGGGTACTTGGGGTTAAGAGAGCACTGGCGTACCTGCAGCTTTCTGATTCTCTGATTCAGCAAAAGCAAAATGTCACAGATTATTCGGATTCCATTTTTAGGCATCCACATTCTGCATCAAGAATCAGGGAAGACACAGAAAATGAATTTGATAATTCAGGTTTTTTTTGGGGGGGGGGTATGTTGAAACCATCCTCTGCTTTGGAGCAATGAAGCATGATTTGAACGCAGGAGATCAAGGGGAGGGGGAGAATTTCAGACCCGTGGATCAAAAGTATCCCACCGCAAGGCTCTCTGTCTGGCCCTTCGGACATTCCCACCCTCATCAAGTGTTTCCGTTTGCCTGGAATGGGCCCTAGAACTCTGATAACGCCTCTTGCAACGTAAAATAATACAATACAGCGATCACAAACAAAATGGTGTGTGGTGAAAATATGGGACTCACTCCTACAAGCATCAGTGATGGCCACCAACTTGGAGGGCTGTAAAAGGGGATTTGACAAGTTCTAGAAGGAGAAGGCTAGCAAAGGCTACTAGCTATCTTCTCCATCCACTGCTGGAGGCAGTCTGCTTCTGAATACCAGTCTCTGGGAATCACAAGTGGGGAGAGTTGCTATTATGCTCAGGAAATACTTGTGGGCTTCCCACTGGGAAGTCAGGTTGGCCACTGTGAGAGTAGGATGCAGCTGTGGATGGTGCCACTGGCTTGATCCTTCAGGGCATCAAAGGGGGGGGGGTCAATTTTCAAAGAATCTTAGTATTGCTATCCTTTCCTTTAAGAATTGATGTCTTGATCTGTGGATAGGTAAAGGGGACTCCTGACCATTAGGTCCAGTCGCAGACAACTCTGGGGTTGCGCTGCTCATCTTGCTTTATTGGCCGAGGGAGCCGGCATGCAGCTTCCAGGTCATGTGGCCAGCATGACTAAGCAGCTTCTGGCGAACCAGATCAGCGCACGGAAATGCCGTTTACCTCCCCGCCAGAGTGGTACCTATTTATCTACTTGCACTTTGACGTGCTTTCTAACTGCTAGGTTGGCAGGAGCAGGGACCGAGCAACGGGAGCTCACCCCGTCGCAGGGATTCAAACCGCCGACCTTCTGATCGGCAAGTCCTAGGCTCTGTGGTTTAACCAACAGTGCCACCCGTGTCCCTGATCTGTGGATAAGTTTGGCCAAATTTTGATCTTGAAAGGTGATCATTGCTCGTATTGAGTAACCATCATAATGTAAGTACTCTATAGAAACAATATCATTTGGATTTACTCCTCCTGGCAACATATCATTCAGGATGTTCAGGAAATGCATTATGCGATCTATCCGTGAGAGGAAGCCCTTCAGTTGTGGGTAGTAAACAAATACAGGTTTTTGAGGGATTAGTATCAGGTTCCAACCTTTTTTCTGGATTGGACCTTGCCAGTCCTGTAGTATGTCACCATCAATATTGCGGGCCACATTCTCTTTAATACCCGTATTTCTAATTGGTTTCCTTCAGGGATCTCCTTATGTTCTTATGAGTAACAGCGAGAGAGGGTTGTTGTCTTCATGTTCTGCCTAAGGGTTTCCTGGAGCCTTCTGATTGGCTGCTGTGGGAAAGAGGATGTTGGACTATGATGTGCCAGAAATCACCACCACGGCCACCATCTTATTTACACCCTTCCCACCCGGCTGGGTTTTCCCAGCCACTCTGGGCAGCTTCTACCACATGTGTTTTTGTTGTTTAGTCGTTTAGTCGTGTCCGACTCTTCGTGACCCCATGGACCAGAGCACGCCAGGCACTCCTGTCTTCCACTGCCTCCCGCAGCTTGGTCAAACTCATGCTGGTAGGAACATCCAACATTAAAAACTTCCCGGTACAGGGCTGCCTTCAGACATCTTCTAAAAGTTGTGTAGTTCTTTATCTCCTTGACATCTGGTAGGAGGGCGTTCCACAAGGAGGGTGCCACTACCGAGAAGGCCCCCTACCTGGTTCCCTGTAACCTCACTTCTTGCAGGGAGGGAACCGCCAGAAGACTCTCGGAGGTGGACCTCGGTGTTTGGGCTGTACGATGGGCATGGAGATGCTCCTTCAGGTATACTGGGCCGAGGCCGTTTAGGGCTCCAAACAGGAGTTCCAAATCGCAGTGTCATTATTATTGAAAATGTGCACAGGGAGTGCAAGTGCAAGACAATGGAGGGAACTGCAGAGGGCATAGCATGGGGGGGGGCAGAGGGTCCATAGCCCCAGGTGCACAATTTTAGGGGAAGCGAGCCAGGCCCCCCACCCCCACCGGGATCCCTGTCCTGCCCTGCCTGCTGCTGGGGGGTCTCTGGGCCCTAGAGGCTGGCCTGACCTCACCATCGTGCCCCCGGCCCCCTCACTGAATGGCCGCTTGGCCAGTGTGGGGATTGAACCTGGGATTGTCTGCATGCAAG